ACGTACTTAAAAACTTAGCAAATTAAATAACAGGCTGTGCTAAAAATGTTTTTTGTTGTTCTGTTTGAAAAACAAGTTAATTTAGAAAAACAGATCATTTTCTTTACTTCATATAAAACGATAATTCACTATGATTGCTTTATATATGAAATTTACAAAGACTTACTTAACAAATTAAAATTAGCTATTTAAGTCTATTTAAAGTAATTATAGATGGCTCCTTATAGATTTTAATATAATTGAATCAAACTAATTGAATGTCTAGACGTTTTATTTCAATGATAAACTCAAAGGAACAAGGTCATTCTATTTATGATATAAAGCCTGAAATAAGTTATATACTTATTACTTTATCTATTACCTTAGAGATGTAAGTCAGTGGTTAAAAGGCCCGCCTCTCATGCATGAGGTCGCGGGTTCGATCCTAGCAAATACCAATGCGATGTTTCCGAATCATATGTACTTTTTTAGAGTATTTAGACATCACTGATTAATGCATTCCCAAGGAGGGTTGCTGTCAGGCAGGCGGCCGGACGTAAAAACAATTAGCCAAAACTATTGGCAACATGTAAGGTAGACCCTGGCTAAAGCTGGGAAATTGCCAGGTAGAAGAGAGCTTCATCCCTTTGTCTGTTACCTTAGAGGTATGTTTATTTTCTATAACGAGAATATTGTTTACCTCAATAAATTTGACTTAAAAATATTTACTATTAAATCAATATAAAGGTATTTGATGTAACATCATATGTGGCTACAAATAGGTAATCTTGTAGTATTTCCAATAAATGCAATAGAATATACTTCAACATATCTTTTATTCCTTACAATTTAATTCAAGTCGGATCTCCATTCTATGTCATTTTCAAACACATTATCTCAAACAGACGTTTGCTCATAACCGTTACTTGTATAAAGCATCTTGTCTTGAAAGAGCTTATTTAAGTAGCTTGCTTCTTGAAAGCTTTCGGAACTAGTTCGTAACTTAAGTTGCTGGTAATACTCTTGAGAACTTTGACTTACAAATAGAATTATTTAAATTTATTTGAAAGACTTTATATTATTAAATTTTTAAACGGTTAGTGAAAAAAGGAGCGGCATATATGTATGTAATACTAAACATACATATATGTTTTAACCCATAATATATGCGTTTAAATTAATAAAAAAACAACGTCAATAACGATCATTAAATTTTAAGACAATACTTTTTGAATCCCGATATAATACGTATTTCCAGCAGTAAAAAAAAACAAAAGTGAGAAAAGATTCTTTTGTATAAAATTTATTCACTAAAACATAGAATATATAATATAAACATGATTCAGAATTGGAAGGATAAACCATAAATCTGATATTTTTAACAAGTTTACAGATGCCACAGTGAATTTCTGAGTGCAAGAGAGACAAATTGAATTAGTTAGCACCGTCCGGCACGGCTTACCTGACGGTTGGAGCACCAGCCGGTCTCAATAGCACTGCGTAATGAAATAACCCGGACGAAACTAACTTAAATGAACCACATTCGTTTTTAGCTGTGAATATTCTGAAAATTTTAATTGATGCTGCCAATATTTTTATGGACACAAAATTGTTGGTTCCATATTAATATTTATTTAGCTGAATCTCTTATAACTTACTCGTGAAAAAATACATAAAAATCATATATTTTTTTTTTGTAAGTTCTACTTTTATTTATCTATACTAATATTATAAAGCTGAAGAGTTTGTTTGTTTGTTTGTTTGTTTGAAAGCGCTAATCTCCGAAACTACTGGTTCGAATTGAATAATTCTTTTTGTGTTGGATAGTCCAGTTATCGAGAAAGGCTGTGGGCTATATAACATCACGCTACGACCAATAGGAGGAAAGATATAGTGGTAAATGTGTAAAAAACGGGAGAAATTATTTCATCTTTGAAGCCTTCTGTTGCGTGCGCCGTGAAAACGGTTCAAGATACACAAAAAATATGTATTAAAGAATAATAGATCTTTTAATGATCTAAAAAACAGTCCCCGACAGTATATGTCTATCTTTTAAGATTAACTCACAAAAACCGTTTTTATGGTACCTAATTTGGTTAAGAAATAATTTGTTTAAGTTGTATCAACATAATAATATTAATCTTTATTCAAATAAACAAATAAATATGTTTTTGGTTAAGAGTACTTCATCGTGAATTTAAAAAAAACATACGTTTTATCCTGAAAACTCTACGGGAACTCAACCATTCCGAAGACCCCGCAAGAACGGGAACTATGTGTTAAGAACCAAAAATCTGACGGAAGTGACTACTCCACGCGGACGGAGTCGCGGCAAAAGCTAGTTTCTTATATATAAAGAAAGACCATAAGTAATAAAACCATATTGTGCGATAAACGGGAAGACATAAATTTATTTATTTTTTAATTTCGACTATAAGAAGACTAGTTAGTAAGACTGTTTGTAAGAATAATGTACCATTAGGTTTTGCAAGTTTTTTCACAAGAAATTCGTGATGGATATAATACTTATACAGTACCTTTATCTGGATCTGTTGTCAGTAGAAGATTCAGGCAATTGACTGTAGGAAGTAAACCAAATTGTTTATGTAATGTAATTGACTCATCTCTGATGATTGACGAATAATTCTCCTAAAGATTTATTCAGTAATTACATAATAATTAATTATACCGGAAAACGATAATAGTCACTCTAATTGAGTTACTTAATTTAATGAGGCTCATTTGGCGTAAACAATATTATATTGCAATTTACTTGCCATTTAAAAGTTTTTTTTTGTTCAAAAATTATATTAGAAACTGTTATCAAATAATAAATAAAAAACTTATTAAATCACTGTAGGGATATTAGATAAATGCTAAAAAAAACTTCAAAAAACAACATAGGAACACACTAACTAATATGAAAATATTAATTAGAAAATAGTATTAAAGTGTATAATGTTAATTTTACACTTCAATTCCATTTCATAATCTGACTTGCCCAATAAGAAGTTTTAAATATCTACACAGAAATCAACCAAACACTATTTTTATTTTCTTTCAAATAATCTAAGTTAATATATAACGGCTTTCTCTAAAAAAAAAACTCATAAATTAGCCAATATCTTCCAAACTTCTTCTTTGATTGGGACGTATATTATTGATAGGAATCATTCTCTCTTGTGCTATTTTTATGAGAAGTACTTGAACGAATCAGTGACTGGCTAAAGGCAGTCGACGCTCGCTTTTTTCAGTTGATTTGTTTGAGAGCTGTGCATAAATAAACGACAATCAATGTTCGCCTTGCTCAAGCGTTTCGTTCGATACAACCGATGTTCTCGTTGTTCAATAGTCTCTTTGGACAAATTCGTAACATCCAGTCACCTTTTAAATTCGGCGCTATTTAAAGACTGTATAACTAAATACTAATAATAATTGAATATTAAATTAAAACGACCTAAAAATAATCGAAATCTACGTAAACTTACACTTATTTTCATATAACGCTATAAATGCAATAAATAATTAGTATGAAACTAAAACATAATTTCGTTTATTCTTAACAAAAATAAGACATTTATTATGATATATGATTGAATATTTCTTAGCCAAATAATGATATCTGAATAGAAAAACGTTGTAACAGTCTTTCGAAAATCATTCGCCATGGAGCATTTCACTGAAGCGGACCGTGCTTTTTGTGTGCATGCCACCATTGCGCGGCGTAAATTTGAAGAGTATCGCAATTTACGCCAGTGTTCAAACGATAAAGAATTTGTTAAAAAGTTCGAAGAGCCTGGCTCCTACTCAATCTATTCATAAGCGTTCTTTTTCATTTAATATACCCAGTTCATTGTAATAGCGCGTTTTCAATACCGAGACCTGGTTTTAAAATTATGGCATAATTGCTGATTTAACACCGTTATGCCCATCGAACGTCAGCTTTTCCCTAACAAAGTTATATCTCCTAGATTTAAGTCCAATGGTCTTTTTCTTATGTATATGCGTTACGACCTTAATTATAAAAGGGGAGAGGAAAGCGTGGGAAAAAAGAAAGTGGAACTGTTATGTAATAAAATATAAAGATCTGTATAACATTCAGATTCACGGAGATCTGAAAAGATTCTTTACCATTTTATAATATACACTATTTTTTGTGCAAATTAGATTTTATAGTATCCCAATACAGGTCCAAACATAAATAAAAATATATTTAAATAGTCACAGGGTTTTAACCAATATTTTCTTAAGTCTATTTTTATGAATTATTTACTATTTTTTTAGTAAAATATGTAAACTACATAACAATTTAATTTAATAAATACCTGGTTTAGTTTAAAAATGTATTATTATTTTAGTTTCAAATTTACATCACCATTTTTATTCAAATTCATACTTTTCAGTTCTCTTATCTTTTTTCCATGTATAACTTTAAATGCTCGGTACATTAAAATAATTGAAGTACAGAACTAATGACGCCTTAAATGCGTTTTTAATCGTTGAACATATTAAACATAAAATGAACATATTTTTCTCTAGACTATATTTATTTTATTTTATTCATCTTTAACTTATAAATATATTTATTATTCTGATTATTAAAACATTCAGAATCCTTGAACTAATACAATTGAGCATCGATCAGGGCGACAGTTGAACAATCAAGAGCCATCTAAAAGCAATCAAAAACAAAACTCGTTGCGAGCGAGCCACTCCCGGTTTCAATACTATTTTCCAATTAATATCCAGAATTCAGTTCACTGGAATTAGAGCAGATTTCAAATACTCTGAAATGGAACTTTTATAAATTTTAATGAAGCTTATATAAATTGATGATGGACGTTCTATTTATTGGATTAACCTATATAAATTCTGTTGGCATATTTAAAGCCAGCAAAAAAAATCGAAATGAAAATCCTAAATTTTATGAACAGGATCGTAATTATAAGTTGCTATATATTTTAAGTAGGTCTTGGGTCTTTAACATATTATTTTAATGTAACTTTTTTATTTCCTCACAGGTGCTATCCCAATGGTGACAGCGACAGTGTACTGTGCGCCTACCCTCCTACGGTATGCGGCGTTAGCTGTGTACTGCCTCGGGAGTTTGCTTGGTCTTTATAAGGTATGTTCATTTATACGGTTTTATTTATAACTTAAGTTATGTTCGTCTTTATGTACACTATTATTACGTTACAATTATTATATTACTTAATTATTATATACTAATATTTAAGTCAGTGGTGGCCTAGTGGTTAAAAGGACCGCCTCTCATGCAACCGCCTCGGGTTCGATCCTGGCCCTGGCATGTACCAATGTGATTTTTCCGAGTCATATGAATTTTCTAAGAGTATTTAGATATCACTGATTAATGCATATCCAAAGAGGGTTGATGTCAGGCAGTCGGCCGGTCGTAAAAACAAGTAGCTAAAACTATTCACAACATGTAAGGCAGACCCTGGCTAAAGCTGGGAAATTGCCAGATAGAAGGAGAAGATACATACTAATATTTAAAACTTTTTACATTATCTATAACTATTAATCAAACTTTTTTACATACTTAGTGATTCAAAATATTGTGTACAATTTCGTTTGACGCACACAAAATAAATCTGTGGTATTGGCTGGATTTAATTTAATTCTCTGATAACCTTCGATTTTATGTTTCTTCCTTTGTTTCTCTAATTGCTTTCCGTTCCTTTTGTGATATCCACAATGCGCCTTAATAATGAAACACCAAATATTTTTTCAAATACTGAAATTTTCCTTTTTGAAACAGATTTAACAATGGACTTTCCATATTTAGAAATAAATCACAGATATCATAACTTTAAATAATCATTTTGTTTATAATTTCTCTTTTAAATTTTTATATAGTTAATTTAAAATATAAAGCAGGATCGCTTTTATCTCCATGTTTTAAAATTATACTTGTAATACATGTCGTCTTATATTTTTTTTTAATCAAGAATTCTTAAATGATAATTTATTATGACACTACAGAGTTATACAACATTGTTCATTTACGCATAGCTAATCATTTTATTTAAATAATTATATACGTCCCCAGCATTTAATATATTTATATTATAAAAATCGTGTCAACTTGGAATAGTTTAATAATGTGAGTTTCACATCTCGTCTGCCCGTGATCACGGTTGCTTTAGAGTAGGCGAAACGTCGGGAGTGTGTAGTTTATAGTCAAAAATAAAAAAACGCGTAGTAAATCCGAAAATATTAGATTTATTTAAATGAGTACTCGCGAAAATCTTAGATCTCATTAACTTGGAATAGTGTTACCAGGATCACGTTTACTGGAATGAGAATAAAGAAATCTTTTATGTATGTATATTCTTTTAATATGAATGTGTAATTTTTATAAATGTTTATAAATAAAATTTTAATATTGAATAAAACATCCTAACTTGCTTTTAGCTTTCCATAGTTAAGTTAAACCATAACATAAAATATATCATTTAAAAAGCATTTTATTTTTAAAACAAATTGAGTATGATTATAATGTTACCACAAAAAAAACAACGCCTGTTCATCCTTTGCAAGTTTCGTTCTAATTAAATCCGTGGCATGTGTGACATATTTAATTTGTATCAAGAAATATATAACAGACCTATAAAAAATCTTCAAAAGAATCTCATAGTGATGATTTCGTCAGGACACAATATAATATGAATAGATATAGATTTTTATCTTAAATGAATTCTGATAAATTTTCTTATAATTTTAGAATTAGAATTAAAAGATTGATAACACAACTTATTCTAAGATAACTAAAGCGTTTATATAAAACCTAAAACCTTAATTCATATTACGAAATAAGCAGTGACTTATTGAAATTGGAATATGTCATAGGGATTTCGCTGTCACGTAAACAAGATTCATTGGAGAATTTGTCATTCAGGGTGTAAGATGTACGTCACTAGACTCGTATGGCTGTCTCGGTTACGTTCTCAGTTGAATCATATGTAAAGATAGGACTACTTAGACAATACTTCTCACCAGACGAAGCATGAGTAATAAATAACTTGATATTGATAGTATATTTACTTAAGTAACTTTTATTTCATTACATTCAAATCAACAATTCATTCGATAAATATGACCGAAATAATTATGTAGTCATCATATCATTCTATATACAGGGTGACTGGTGAATTACTATCGATACTTGAGGACGTGATATTTGACGATCATATATGACAAAATAAAAATTAATATAACATAAATATTAATAAACTTCTAAGTAAAGTTAACCAAAAGTTATGTAATTAATTACGCATCGTGTGAACACCCTACAGATTAGGTATACACACACACACACACACAAGCGTCGGCGGCCTGGTGTTGTATCAGCACGCCGCCGCATGCGTCCACACTTGGAACACTTGGAACGTATCCACACTTTATTTATTTATACGGAAATTTGGTCAAAAATTAAGTACCTATTTTTTTACATAATTCGAATGAGAATCATGTACCGAGTATTCTCCTTAAATATTGATAGTAATTCACCAGTCACCCTGTTTACTTATATATAGAGATATTATGTATATATATAGAAAATTCAAATTGTCATACTAATTTTAACCGATTTTGTATTAAGTCGCTTTTACCAACTTATTTAACAGATTTTTACATAACTCTAATACCACTAAAAGCTCGTTTTCTTTCACTTACCATTAGCGTAGTTTTTCTCATTGTTAACCTTTGAGACGGCACACCTACACCAAATATATTACATGGTCAAGGTCTAAGCAAACTTTAGGAAAACTTGGTTCAAATAATAATGATTATGTTATTTGGTTTTGTATACAATATTAGAATTTGTTTAAAATATTACATTCGTTTAGAATTTGCTTAAAATATTACGAAAATAAAATATTAGAGGAATAAAGTTTAGCAATATCCAAAGGGTCAGTTTACCATTTTATTTGCTTATAAATAAAACATACAATTGCTATTATTACCAAGATAGAACAACCATCGGCATTATATAACTCTAATACCTAACAGATAATATTCATATATGATTTTACCACAACGTCATATGATATATATTTTTTGATATCTTTAAAAGATCACAGCGTATTTGTGAATATTGTAATTATAAACAAGGAAGAACAAAGTTAGTATAAGGACTTAATTCTTCGTCAAATATCTAGTATATATTCTGTTCGTGTATTTTAATGAATGCCAGTAAGTTGTACATGAGTATATTCATTCTAAAGTCCTTTTCCTTCTCACCAGGCGATGCGTGCGTGGTCTCCGTGGGAACGAAGGTTGTGTTTTGCTGCTCCTTTCTGCATGCGGCTGCTGCTGGCTGGTGCTCGTGCTGCAAACCTCGCTGGTGGCGACCCTCATGCTATACTGCACGTATTCCTTCAAGTACGTACTGTCTTTTTTATATATAAACGATATCAATTTAGGATAGGAAGTACGATTAAGAAATGTACTTCTAAAAGAATATTATTTAGCAATAATATTTTTAAATGTTTTGTCGGATCTATTTTTGGAAATAATATGACCAGCAGGTAAAGTTGAAGAGTTATTATTGTACGTGCATAAGAATAATAATGTCGATGCAAATTAGCAATATTTTATATAGTACTAGCTTTCCGCCCGCAGCTTCGCCCGCGTGGGGTTCGGTTATATGGCGTTTCCAAGAGAACCTTTCAAAAGTCTGGGATTAAAACTATCCTATGTTCTTTCTCAAGGGCAACTCTATCTCTGTAAAAAATATCATTAAAATCAGTTCAGTGGTTTAGGTGTGAAAGCGTAACAGACAGACAGACAGAGTTACTTTTGCATTTATTTGTAGGGAAAACTTATTTATTAAAATTATTTTATATTTTTTTTTATTTATTATCAACTTTATTTTATACATTTTATCTCATATCAATCTAGTTATTTATCAAAGATGGTAATATCGCCCCCTTGTTGGCACTGCAGGCCTTAGGAGGGGAGGTAAGAGACCCAGAAAAAAGGAAGCATTGTGCAGGGGCCGGGGGGGGTGATTTATAATTTCATTTAGCTAAGATAATTTATAAAAGTTTTACAGTAAGTGCAAAAACACTTCCATTTTTTCAACTTCTGAAATTCCACTTTAACTTATCCTAGTTAAAGGAAATCACTTTAAAAAATTCTCAAAGTGGTCAGTAGACCAAATAAGTTTCGGAATCCCTGAACTAGAGGACTTTACCGGACATTTAAAAATTAAACATTTTTTTCCCATCAAAAGACCATGAAGTGACTTAATCTCATCGTCACTATTGATTCATTTGTACCTGCCACTTCCTCTTTCCAAATCCCATTTACAACGACAAGAGCGTACTTTATAACTGGCAAGTTTCCAGAAACTTCTCAGGATGAGTTCTCTCACATCCATTTTACTCATTGATCATTTATTGTTATACTAACCAATACGTAAAACTTATTCAAAGTGATTAATTTACTACTAATTGGTACTATTTAGTACCAATTAGTAGTAAATTAATCACTTTATTTAGTCGTAGTACGTATTATCACGACTATTTAGTCGTAGTACGTATTAAAATTAATATACTACATAATCACGTTTCCATAAAGTATGTAGTTTAATCTCTAGATTCTAGAATTTCATGTTTTAAATATATACGGTTTATACTACAACAAACTTGACTGATATTTACTTCGATCCAATGTATTAATAAATTATAAATGATATACATATGTAGATGCTCGTATGTATTATATAAAATAGTTATTATGGCTGCTTGCACTCAATAAGGAAAATACTGTTGAAGTAAATAATATAATTATTATTTTATAGAATAATCAATAATACCAGTCTTGAAACACATAAAACAGAATGTTATAAATATAAGTCTGTCCGTTATGTACGTATAAAAATTTTGTTACATTTGACAGATAGGATTTCGGAAAACATATTATGTAACTTTTTGACGTTGTGGCATGAAGGTAAAAAATAACACACACACACACAGAATTCCTTGTTGAATGTTTTTCCTTGTAACCTAACTCGTTTTCCAAAATAGCCTAGATTTTCTCTTCGTGACTTCGTAATTAATTAAATATTAAAGTGTCTGTTATGATAATTGATAAGCCTCTTATATTAAACTTGCAAAGGACAGAAAAAAATTATATGTGTCTTTAAGGTTTTTTTAAAAGTCTCACATTAATATTCCTTGAGAGTTTTATATTGTAGTAGCTGCAATTAAATTTGTTATTTAAACATGGCCTTAAATTAAATATTTTTTATATAAAGTACTGCAGTTGAGTGCATTGAACCTATTTTTTTTAAGTTGTTTCAAATGATCACTTAAAAAAAAGTTACAATAAGCTTTAATCAAAGAGTGAAAGATGAAATTGTGGAAATGAATCTTACTTACAAAAACTTCGAAACAAATATATATAATATATCTACAGTACAACACAGAGCTTTGTAGAAAATCCGAGTGAAAACAGTTAATAAAAAATTAAAATTGACCAAAAATTGAAAAAAAAGAAGATTGTTTTCATAAAGTATCATAAAATAATAATAAAAAGAACAGTTAATAAAAAATATATAATTTTATTAATACAAAAGTGCTGTTTCAAGCTGTGAGTTTTACAATAAGTCAAATTCCAGTGTCAAACATTGTAAGAAAACTTAATTAATATCTTAAAGTAAAGGCTTTGTCCCAGTTTTCCATGAGGTGGACATAAACCTCTAAGGAACTGACGTCTCAAGATAAGAACAAGTCATCTGTGAACTGTGAAAGAATCTACAATGTCTTTTCTATCAGAATGTAAAAAGAAACCCTTCTTGTGTATCTGTCACAACTGACGTGAATTAAACTCCGACGTTTACAAACAACTTAAAACATATATACAGGGTGACTGGTGAATTACTATCAATATTTAAGGAGAATACTCGGTACATGATTCTCATTCGAATTATGTAAAAAAAATAGGCACTTAGGTTTTGACCAAATTTCCGTATAAATAAATAAAGTGTTGACACGTCCCAAGTGTTCCAAGTGTGGACGCGTGCGGCGGCGTGCTGATACAACACCACGCCGCCAAACGCGCGTGTGTGTGTGTGTATACCTAATCTGTAGGGTGTTCACACGATGCGTAATTAATTACATAACTTTTGGTTAACTTTACTTAGAAGTTTATTAATATTTATGTTATATTAATTTTTATTTTGTCATATATGATCGTCAAATATCACGTCCTCAAGTATCGATAGTAATTCACCAGTCACCCTGTATAAACAATTGATTAGGTAAATATGACTAATATAGGTTGCGATTCACGGCCAGACAGAGATTCCAGGAAAACCACGAAACTTACTGAGAATTGTGTCATAATAAAAATTACGTAACTAAAACTTATCAGCTATAACCAATGCTATGATTGCCCGATGTTAGGATAGCAATGCCATTCCATTTCTTGTGTAGTATCAGGAATTTCCCGGTCAGGTGTTCGTTCCGCGCAATCAGCAGTGTCAATTATATGATATTTTATACATACAGCGGTTTTACCCTGGCGATGTTCTTTTATTTTCAATACATTGCGTGTACGTATGAAAGATAGGTGTCACATTAATTAATATAATTATAGAATTGAATTCGAATATGAATTTACGACATAGTTAATATTTAAGTAAGGCTACAATCAGCTGCATTGTTAAAACTTTGGGAGAATAGAATTTCAAATCAGAAAAGAGATATTAATCATAATCACAGTTTTTTCTTTTAAGCTGAAAAATGATAAAAAAATCTGTTATGTTTGAATTTCTCTCGTTTCTCTCACATTCTATTTTGGACCGACAACTCATATATGAATTGTAGAGTTTGAACTGTGTTTTACTTTTTTACATTAAGACTATTTGTTATTCGCGACTGTGTCTGATTAAAAAAAATATAAAACAATAAAAAAATCTTTTAAGTACACTTTCTATGAATACAGGAACAAAAAAAAAATTTTTTTTGAAATGCTAAATTAATGAAAATAATCTGAGCTACTTACTACGTAATTGCCTACTTAGGCAATCGAACAAAATAACACTGACAAAAACTACTTTGATATTTTACTATAGATAAATACTATTACTAATATAATATAACTACTTATTTGTATCTATCTAAATTAAACTAAAATATATATATCTTTATATATATAAAAATTTCATGTCACGTGTTTGTCCGCGATGGACCCCTAAACTACTAAACCGATTTTAAATTTGCATTCCATGTGCATTTTGATCCAACTTGAAAGATAAGATAGCTTACATCTCAATTTATAGTCACAATATTATTTTATTGCAAATTATTTGTCTATTAAAGAAAATTAGTTGTTATTGTTATTATTACAATTATCTGTTGACTGAGTTAAGTAAGTATTCAATAGATGGAGCTTTGTTGAAAATACAAACGTCATATATGAGCGACTATTTAATAATAGCATAACCACCACGTGTTTCTGAGGCTAAGGTATAACCTAAATTTATTTATTAAAAAAACGTAACAGATATTTCTTGATTATAGGGCGATACGAAGTTCGCCGGGTCATCTAGTATTTACATAAAAATAACCTAAGTTACTCATTAAAAGTGCCGTCACAATTCTAGCTATTTCAGAGATTAGACGGAACAAACAGACAGACAAATATCTGTGTAAGTACAAATATTGTAAAAAAAAATAGTTGCATGTACAACTGTTCCGTTATTGCAATATATTACAGACACTCTAATTTTATTTATATTTATATGTAGAAGTTAGCAAATAATAATGATTTACAAGTTTAAAACTATCGATTATTAACTTAAACTACACTGAATAGAAGTCACGGGCACAATACAAGTACCAAATAAAAATAGAACCAGGTCGTTAAAATGTCAAAATATTCACCTCAACCCAGCGTCGTAACCTGACCTTTGACGTAGTATCATTACTGAAAATCATAATTTAAAATTTTAATGTTTTTATAAATATTATATGATGTTATGAAACATTATACGCTTCTATGTGACCCATTACTACTAAGTGACAATAAAATTGGTGTTGACTGTCGAATTAAATATTTACGCGTATAGAAATTTAATTTACAATGTAAATAATTACCTAAAATACTTGAATTTGAACGTCACAGTATATAATATTTAGTTCAAATAATCATTTTCATTACAACAATACACATTTCATCAAAAATTTTACGCAGATAGAAATGTTTTAGGAAGGGAATATTGGAAATATTATTGATTTTAATTAGTTATAAGGGATACGGCTTCAATAGAGATTTGTACATAGATAATCTGGATTAAAAGATCCTAAAGGTATAATACGATACTGGGCATTGATCCTATTACAAAGGTATTCTTGGACTGAATTGGGAAGTAAAATGTAGTTTATTGTTTAATATGTTTTTTGTTTTTTTTTTTTTTGTACATCCTTCACCCACAAAAAATTGTTTTATACAGTATAATACTGAATTCGAATGGTAAAAACCTAAATGGTAAAAAGTATGCCTATTTCAGCATTTACCAACTCATATCGATAGATTCTCAGTTTTATTCGAAAATCTTAAGATTTGCTTTAATTAGGACTCTTACCATAACATATACAAGTACAACAAATAAAAATTAGCTGCGTATTTTGTTTCATGTTGGTTAACGTTGATCTTGACACTTGTGTGCTTTGATTTTTTCTCAAATAAAGGTAAATATATTGTAGCTAGTAAAGTTTTCTTTATATTACCAAAGGGGCAAACGGATAGACTGTACACCTGATGGAAAGTAGTCATCGTTGTCCATGGAATCTGCAACATAAGGGGTGTTGTAGATGCGTTACCGATCTTGTTTGTTAAGGAGCCACGTGAACACTAAATTTTTGAAGGACCCCATATTGTAGCTCTCATGGAAAACCTTGGGTGGAAGATCATTCCAAAATCCACATCCTGCAAGTGCGTGGAAAAAATGACCGCGACGCACGTACAGTTTTGCAATTAAATGCATCTAGATGATGATGAAATCTCACCCTCCGGCAGATAGTGCGATGGTAGAATGGTGACGAAGGCACTATACCAAACAATTCCTCAGAACACTCCCCGTTGTATAGACGATAGATCACGCAAAGGGAGCTCACGTCCCTTCGGAGGCTTAGCGGTTCTAAAACCTGAGTGAGCATGGAATGTCTATATCAGCTCGTAATTTGGGCCGGTTTTTAACATTAGTGTAGTCAATAATTTTCGCAATACACTTTCCTAACAGTGTATCGTGAAACATTCTTTCACCAAAATGTGTATTAATTAATTAATGACATTGGAAATGATACTATCCGATACTAAACAGCCTTTTTGTTAACTTCCACGATATCTTAGAGATTATATTATTTGTACAAGTATAAAATGGTTATAGCTTGGTTAAATTAGAGTCTTGCATAATTTAGTGCTCCAGATTTTTTAGGTTTTTCATCAAATAAAACTACTGTTGCTATTCAACAAAGTTTTTTAACTAAATTAAATTCAAAGTTAAAACGAGATGAAATGAGACTTGAATTAAATTATTTGTTCACATTCATATAATGAGAACACTGTAGAAAAACAAGATTTTACTTCAAATAATAATTATTGTATTTTTATAATAATTTTAACATCCAAACTTGGTTTCTTCGAGAAGATTGTTTTAGTAATCGGTAATCCATTTACAGGTCTATTTGTAGTGATCAGTGTACCTACCCTAATTGCAAATATATAATTAGACAAATTAAAAAAATAATTAAAACTTTTCACTGATTTATCACATGTTAGTATTTAAATCACTTTTTTTCGTTTTTATAAAAAAGACAAAACTATTTATTTATAAAATATTTGTTTCTATAAAAGGTAAAATTAAGTTTCTTTAATGGTTATGTTTCGTCCGAACTCCGATGAGTGAGAGAGCCGGTTGTCCTTTCCCTTTTTCCACACGTTCCTTTCCCTCATTCCCAATCAAAGGTCCCAACTCATCCGCAAAACTTTGCTGTGGATGTTCATGAGCAACGGTACTACCTCCACCAAGTATAAAAAGAAATACTCTTACGACAAAAAACAATCCAATCAGTATTACCCTATATGTTTTGTGAGCCGATCGTCATGATTTATAATCTTGTTTCAGGATGCAGTATCCCTTGGAGGTGGTGTGATCGGCGCCATGCATATACCGGAAAAGTGGTTCCCTGGTACTGTGGACCGCTGTTTGAATTCACACAACATCATGCACGTGCTGGTCGTGTTGGCTGTGTACTCCATGCATCAGGTATGCAACAACAACATGCATACTTTTACTAACCATGCATTATATACAACATGTCAATAACACAAAGAAAATAAGCATTTCCTTATATCAAGTGCCAAAGACGTAGCTTATTTGTTTAAAAGAAATTCAACCCTCGACATGTAAAGAGCAATAAAAAATAACATTAGTGTAATTAGCACGTTAAAAAATTTGCATTTTCGAAATGGCTGAAGTGTGTGACAACAAAAACATACAACTATCCAGTTTTATTACGATCTCTCGTGACTACATAAGCTTGTTCAGATAAACCGTACTTGTTTCCCTAGCATCAAAAACTAATAGTAATTACTAACTAAAGTACATAATTTTAACCAATATATTCAAAGCATTATTCAGAATCACAAAGTGTAATGAGTTAGTTTGAGAAACATAAAAATATAATACAATATATTCAAATACCAATAATTAATTATTGAATTTGTAAATAATGGGACAATAAATATTATGAGCCGCGAAGTTATGGCTTACTTACTTACCTATAAAACTAATTTTATTTATTACCTCGAATCGACGGATATTTATGGGAGGCTTCATTAATTCGTACGAATTTCATAGATAATTTAACAAATTTTGATGTAAAATGACTTATTTTCTCTACTCATAGATATAAGTGTTTAAAAGAGTAATTTATATTTATGTAAAGCATATTTTGAGGTAACTCTTATTAATTTAAAAACTACATATGAGAACATTAATGTAATTCACTGATCCATGCTTTAAGGGAATACTGAAAAGCCAATATATCTTACAGTAACAGAAGGGCCGAAAAAAAATTTACTATATTACATAGTGTCCCAAAAATCTCGCGTCAAAAAGCAAATAAGAAATGAATTATTGTTAATTGAAACATTGATTTCTTCATATAATTTTTCATGCACCTAAACTGTTTGTTTGCTTTCAATATAACTATGATTTAATATAATGAATAATTTATATCTGTTTTATTCAGGTAACAACACGTGATCTAGCATGGATGTCCAGCGTCGACTGCCGTCGGCTCTGACAATAACGCCGCCGTCGAACGAACAGCACACGAGCGTTTAAAAAAACGCTCCATCACAAACACGGAATACATATCCGCGTTTATATAAAAACTACCTTTTATTTTAATATTCATTTCATACAATATAATGGCCTATCACGCTATCAAATTGAAGACGATGTTGAGCACTTAACAACTGATCTGTTATTAATAGCTAATAGTTATAAGATAAGGAGTACAATTAAAATAATTTGATGCTAATCTATTGAAACCTTCCGTAGGCTTTATATTAGACGTAAACACTATTTTATTAGATCTTCTTCTACATATGTCCGTTGTTGTTAAGTTTATTTTACAAAACTATGTAGATATTATGAGTATGTAATGTTATTAAATAATTCTTACTTAAATATGACAATATACATGCACTTAGTTGAATCACTTACATCGCACGCACACAATATAATGCTACTGAAATCAGGAAGGAGTACTTAAAATTTTGTGTGAGAAATATTCACTTTTAATGTAAGTAAATTATATAATAAAATAATTTATTGAAAGCTCAGCTGTCCACGTGTCAGCAACACAACTTTATAAATAAGTTTATATAAATATTCTACAAGATTTTGCATCCTATCAATCTGCTTTATCTTGAGTTTTTCCCTCCAAAATAATTAATATTTTAAAATATTATTGAACACTAAGCATTCCTACTCTAGACTTGGTCTACAACTGTGGTTGTAAGAGTCCATCTTAATTAAGTAGTATCTAGTCAAATCTCTATATAGATATTAATTTTGCTAATTATTATCAAAAATTGGTTCTTATAAATAAATTTGTACGTAAATTCTCATTCAATAGATCTTAACCATTACGTCTTGCTTCTTTAAGATAATTTTATTTTATTTACAGTAACACCCTGTATCTACTCCCTATTTAATGTTAGGTAGAAAATTATTTGTATTATGCTATTAGCTATGCATCTTTTTGAGTTCCTTAAAAGCCTGGGAACTATTTAATTTATATTTTTCGTTCAGTAAAAGGTAACATAGTATCCACAACAATTAAAGCAAATAAAAAAATACATTTTATTTTTCATAAATGATTTAATAACTTTTTTAGCTATTAATTTAATTAATGATTGTAAATTAGAAAATTTATAATGCTTTTTTTATTTACAGCATATATCATTTTACTCGAAACATGTTTAATATTAAAATGCACTAAGTCGGTGACATCAATTACAAGTTACTTAAACTTACAAATAGTAGAGGGTGTTACTGTAAAATATAAATAAAATTTTAAACTTACCGCTTTAATAATAACTAGAAGTAATTTAGCACCAAATTATCTTTTAACATATAAGTAGTGATACTCAAATAAAGTAGTCATGTTAGGAGGCTAGCGAACAGCAATAATTAGTGAATCTTAGGTATTGACGAACGTAGTATAGTTTACGAGGCAATTATAACTGTTGTCAATACATTTTCCATTAAGTTAGTATATTTTGATAGTGTTCTAGCCAAATGTAGATAACTTGATGACCGTATGGATGTGACCGTGACCGATGCCAACATTACATTAAATTGTTTAATATTTATTTAAATATTATATTTTTGGATATCAATATTATCATCATAATACATATATCAATAGTATTTTTATTGTATATCTAAAGCTAGTCTACATAGTCAACTTATATTTATACATATATTATGTTAATAAATTTTATTGTTAGAATTAATTTATCGAAGTTATTTATGGATGAAATGTCAAATGGAGTGTTCCAGATGTAACAAAGAAGGTTTGTTATAATTCCTTTTAATCATAAACTTATTTGATTCAAAATAGAATTATATATTACCTCTGTATATAAAAAATGTTTGTGAAGTATTTTAATGTTAATTTAAACCGTAAATTAATTAATATTTTTAAATTTTATAACTTCAGAGTCAATTCATTTTCAATGAACATTAAAAAATCATTAAAATACCTGTAATCAGAAATGATATCCGTTCTTCGTAATTTTCTTTGTTTCAAATGATTCGATTGTCGTCAGTTATAAAACTGACGTAATTAGTGAAATTGAGCATTAAATTAGTTAATAGAAATATTGATTGAAAAGCTTAAAGACGCTGTTACAGTTACCTTCCAATTTCACAATAAATAACTAAAAATTTATATCATTTCTAACAAATACAAGCTAAAAGTAAAATCCTTTGTTTATTTTATACGATGACACATAAAGCCATTTTCCTCCTATGAAATGGATGTACGACGTTATGTCTCTGTGATTTTTTGTTACTGTATTATAAATAATTGAAACCTGCCTTCAGTAAATTAGTATAATTTTATTCATACACGGTTCCGATGGTGATGATGATAGCAATACGCCCAGTATTTTTAAAATATAAAAAGTTTGAAGTGTTTCCATAGTACATATATTAGTGTTGGTTAGAAATTAATTATTGAATAATGCAATGTAGTGTGAGTTGATGAAAGTATTAAAGTTTATTTGAATTTAATATTGTTTCATTTATTAAAACATATAATATATATTACTGTTGACATTGAAGTATTTAATAGTTGCATACATATTTTTTTATGATCGAAGTAACAACCGCTTTGGCATTATTCATATAATGGAAAGAAAATATGGAAATCATTATATTTTTAACCTAGAAAGATTGCTACAAGGACTTAGTCATTACAACTAGGTATGTAATTATGCCTAAAGAAAAAAATACATAGGTATATATGTATATCAAAGACGTATCGAAAATATAGAATAATTAGGTACATTTAGTTTATATTTTCAATAACTCATATTTACCAGCTAATAATTGTTATAAAATAATAAAGGAAAATTTAATTTAATTATACATTATAATATTGGAAGGATAGTCGAAAAACAATGATGGCATTCTTACTGATATTGAAATAACTTAAAAAATCATACACTTAAACCTACTATGTAGATTCCGCATACATGGAATACTAGGTCAGAATAATGAAAATGATATGAAAATTAATGGCTTCTTGTAATATGGCAACAAAAAAAGCCTTAAATACTTACGTTTTTATATATTATATTCATTAAAGTAAATATTGAAAAATAATGTGTGTACAATCTAAAGGAGCTCTTCTGAAGTTTTCTTAATAATATTAGAACCCAATTCTTATAATAAAAGTACTGGAGTGTATATATTCATTTATCGTCTTATTTTTATAATTTATTTGGTAACTACAGTTTACAGAAACAGTGCTCAATATTTGGCTATAGATAACAAATAACAAGACCAACTGACTTACTCAAAACCTCGAGTAAAATGTAAATTAAATAATAAAACCCCGTAAACTTTTATTGTTCTAGATGCTGGTAAAAATATAACTAGTCTTCGTTTAAAAAATAATATAAACTTCTTTATTCCATTCGACAAACTCTTTCGTGTTTTCTCCACACAGTACTCAAGATAATTATTCATACAAATTACAAAAAAATAAAAAAGGATGTCAAAACTATATCTGAAAACCATAATTTTATTTAAATACTAGAAGACCTGGCGAACTTCGTACCGCCCTATAATCAAGAAATATCTATTACATACGTTTTTTTATTTATATTTTTGGTGTTTACCTGTAAGCCATAAATCTCCGTGTTTTGAAGTGCGACAGAATGATTGACATATTAGTTAGTTGTCAAATCTAATGTCAAAAAAAACGTTTGTATGGGAAATAGAAAAGGACTGTTTTTATGGTTTTCCCAGTAATGAATCAATGTTTTTTCAGCTTTTATACCTTCCCTGAACATCCACAAACATTTCAAGACTAAGATAAGATAAATCCGTTCAGCTGTTCTCGAGTTTTAGCGAGACTAAGGAACAGCAATCCATTTTTATATATATAGAAGATGTGTTTGAAAATCTTCGTATCATTCATGTTATCCTGGTAGTTGCTAAACAATGACGGCTGAATATGTTGATGATTTGGTAATTTTTGGACCTTCCCTCGGACCATCACTGTCGTGTCGTATTTTAAAGGCACATTCAGATCAATGATTCCAGAATAGTGATGTAAAATGCTTAAGCGGCGTTCTAATATTTTCTTCACGATCAAATTCATTAATAAAACAACATGTAATCTATAAAATTTTCTTTATAAACAAAATATTCTTAAATTTTTCCAAGAATCTTATCATTTTCAGTTTCTTAAATTTTTTCAGGTTTTTTTGACAAACAGGATGTACTTTTTTATAGCGGATGTGTTTAATCGTAAACGTTAAGTGAGTGAATTCCAACAATGAATTGATTAAACTCATATCTTAAAAATATCACATTTATGAAAACCCCAATATAAGTAAACAGTTTTTAAAGACAATTAATTTTTTCCCCGAATCTCCTCCTATCAAGTTCTTATCAATAATAACACAGCACAACAAAATCAAACTTTTTTTTTGTTGCATGAAGTTTTTCTACTGTTGTTTACTAATTTGGGTGCGCTAATTTTTAAATCTGACCTCAGATTTTTTGTAGCAGCTCTAGTTAGTCAGATACAGGTCCGACTTGAATTTACATAAGTTGTCAACAGTTTCTACCAATAGCGGTGTAACTTAACTAGTCCCTTTATAAATTTCATTATGTCTTCCTCAAGAAGAACGTGTTTAAATAATCCTGAGTGTTTTTGTGCTATTTGCGGATAATATATGTTCCAAAAATGTCGTTTAAGTGTGTCAGACTTTGTAAAAAACTCGTACTTCGACTACTTTGGGTTTCCGTTGCCATCAAACGCTAAACCTTTGGTACCAATTTTGGTGTGTAAAAGTTGTATTGAATCTTTGCGATTATAGGCAAACAAAAAAAGACCAAATTTTAAGTACAACTCTCCCATGATATGGTGTGAACCACCCAACCATCATAACGACTGTTATTTTTGTGTAACGAAAATAATAGGAATAAACCATAAAAATTGCTCTAAGTGGATATATTCAAACTAAAAATTTGTCGTAAGACCAGTCTTGAGTATTAGTGACACATCAACACCACAGCACCTTTGTAGATCTTCGGAAATCCAGACCAGTGCCGCGGACAAACCGAAACGACGACAGTGGTAGAGACAATAGTCCCCGATTACTAAATAAAGAGGATCTAAGTGACTTGATCAGGGACCTTGGCCTGTCTAAAAGTTGATAGATGATAAAAATTTCATCAACCGTATGACAGCTATTGAGAAATGTGCATGAGAAGAGTTTGTTTGAGTAGTGAGAATTTTTTTGAGAATACTAAGTCTGACGGCTACATTCAGCACGTTGAACAGTTGCTGATATACTTCCAGCGGCTTGGATGCAACATGAGTATTAAGCTTCACTATCTTCACAACCATCTAGACTATTTTCCTGAAAATCTAAGTGACCTAAGCGAGGAACAAGGAGAGCGCTTTCAACAGGATATTCGCTCTATGAAGAACAGGTATCAGGGGTACTGGAAGGAATATATGATGGCTGGCTGTTGTTGGAGCATTCAAAATAGTACTCATGATACATCTCACTCTAGAAAATCCACAAAAAGGAAATTTTATTCAGAATCAATATATTTAATAATTTTTTAAACTTAAATTTTGTGCATTTAATGAAAAACCCTGTCTCTTCATAACTCCAAAACTAGAGCTGCTACATAAAAACGGCATATATTTTTGAAATAAGTGTGGAAAAACTATTCAGATTCATGTAAAAAATCTCATGCAATAGACATGCTGTTTTCCAATGTAATCCAAATAAATTCTGACAAATTGAACATTTTATATATTAAACGATTATAATATGTACATGGTTTCGTTTAAAAAAAATCATTAGAATATCCTCCTTTTAATAATAACAAAAATGTGTAATGATGTATATGTACATCATAATTAAGTGAATTTTATTTCATTTATTTAAATAAACTCTTTACAACAATATTATTCTTACACCAGAATAATAAAGTTATTTCAAACTTTATGAAGTTCTTAGGAGAACAAACCGTTACATATGTAGGTATGTAGATTATTATAGATCTCGGCTGACAACCATATAATATACATATATTTTTTGATTCATTATTATTTCTTTTCCTTCAAAACTAATTCCTTAGTCCACGAGTATGAAGTTGGCAAATATAATTTTCGTTGTATTTTATATATAATAACCCAAAAATTTAATTGATTTTGATTTAACATCAAATCACGAGACGCATTTTCAGATTGTAATTTGTAGGTATGCATGTCTTAGTTTTATAAAACAGTCAGTGTGTAATAATTTGTTCTGATGTCTTTATCACAACTTAGCTTGAAATATAAAAAATCTTGCCTGCTTTAGAAACAGAATCATCTATCGTTTGATTTCCTTAAACAAATTTGCTACTTAAAATTTATAACAAAAATCCCCTATGACGTTTTCCTACTTTTAAGAAATTTTTTAAAAATTTATAAGGTATATACGGAAAAAGTATAAGTATGATCAATTAATATATGCAGGAAATTATATTTTTATAAAAAAAAATACAAAGCTAATGACGCATATAAATTGTTGTAGCATTGCATAAAACGTGGTGCGTTGGAAGTTCTATGCGAATACACTATGACGGCTTCGTTGAGTTTGGTTGTGTTAACGGTTTTAGCGTCGTGTTCCCGCGCATGCGCCGGCGTGGCGCGAGTGAACAGCGTTGAGGAATTAGACTTGACGCCCAGTAAGTTTGTTTTAAAATTTAATATCTTATGTTATAAAACAAAAAGAATATGTGAATGTGTTTGAAAGTGTGAAATTATGTTAACGGAATTGTGCATTTCATTTGAATGGAACCTATTTCATATGAACTTCGAAGTAAACAATTGAATAAATATACCTATACATTAACGTTATTACAAAAGTGGTAATGGTTATTTTAATTTATTGTCTAATGAAGGTATTACTGCTCGTTAATCACATTTTAGTGTGTCATAATTACCCGCATTCGTTATGGATTTTTAATTCGACGTAATATTATTTTCCATTTATTTATCAAAATTACTTTGTTACCTCAAAGTCAGTCATCACTTTACACAGTCATCAACTTTACACATGCATGTAAATCACTATATTTAAATGTCTTTGTCTTCGCTATTACTCATGTAACGTAGGTATTAATTTCCATACATATATTTAGTGACAAAATATATCTTCCTGCATGAAAAAAATATATTTATATGTTATATATTGTATTTGAGTGAGGATGTTCTAGTTTATCTCTTTGACCGCGACCTGTCTTCATTAACCCATGATAAGAGAATCTTTAAAGCGAATCGTAATCTGTTATTTTATCGAAATCGGTATAATTTTTCAAAATTGTTAACTGTCAAAATAAAGATTTTAACAAAAATAACCATACTCTTCGGACGAAATGTCATAAAGTATATGTATCATATCGATAATAAGTTAATAGCACGCTTAGTTTTTAAATGTCATAAGATTTAACACAACCTTTAGTAACCGGTTCTAAAGATCAAGACCGCGGAATCAATACGATCCCTTGACAACAAAACAAATTTTATTTATCATTCAATATCAAATGTATTTTTTTAATTTAATTCATGCATCCGTGTGGATACCTGAATATATTCTGCCAATTTAGCAAAAAAGGTTGGTTGTTTTACGTGTGAAGTGTAATTAAAAATGTTATTGTGCAGATGTCGTCATTACTCCAGAGAAGGCTCAACCGCCTACAGAGATACCAGTAAACGAACGTTTTCCATCCGCGGTGCTCTTCGGCCGTACTTGTGGTGGTACCATTATAAGCCCCACATGGATCCTAACAGCTGGCCATTGGTTTGTATTCAATAAACAATCCATACAAATATATTGATTTATACAAATGATTTTCCGTCTTCGATTAATTTCATTATATTGAATGTTAAGTTGTTTATCTCAGCTGCGTCACGACTCACGTAAACTGGTACTAGGAACGGATTTTCCCGTCCACATAGCAATTAATTTAATACGTTACACGATAACTTGTATAATTGCCTCAATTATCTTTTAACATACGAACGTATGTCAACAATCAAAACTGCTTTGGATGCATATCACGATTTATCATATAAAAACATATACTCGTAGATTACTGCTAGCGTATTTTCCATGTAAATATAGTATATGTAAATGACGACCTTAAACATTTTGCTCATTGTTATGGGACATTTTTCATGAAGCGGCATAACATATTCAATGAAGTAACTGATGCGTGTTATATGAAATAAATTCTTAAATGTGTTTAAAAAAAATATTCCGTGGACAAAAACCTCTGTCACGATATATGGAATCCCCAAAATGTTTGATAGTTTTTTCATTCATGTTACTCTTAATACGTGAAGTCACAAAAAGCCAAGATTTATTCACATGAGTGAGTCACAGGGTTTATCCTCGTCGCGTCTTTACAAGACTGTGTACCTTTTAATAGCTAACTCGCATTCTCAAGGTCCACAAGTTTGTTTATCAGAGAATTTTAATATTTTTCTGTTTTGCTTCATGACTGAATGTCTTATTATTTATGTAAAATAACCTTGATTTACAGTACCCTGTTCACGGGTGGACGCGACGTCCTCGCGGGTACTAACAACTCCGAGAACGACACAGGCGTGCGACGCCGCGTGAAGCGACTAGTCATACACCCGAAATTCGCGGTCGGTCCATACTGGCTCGACGCGGACAGATACGACATCAAACAGGTATACAAAACTTATTATTATGGAAAAACCGTTCACACAATGAGACCGTAATGTTTGAATACGCAATTATCCGTAGCAACTGTGTAATCTCACAATGTCACCATGAATGATTTATTGGAACAAACGTTACAAGGTCGTTATCCGAGGTCCGCTTTGTTGACCTGGCCTTATGTACAGGTGGGAGCTCGCTGGGACTTCTTATTGGCGGAGCTCGAGAGTCCGCTGCCGCTGGACGGGAAGACCATGGTGGCCGCGAAACTACAGGAAGACGCCAGGCTCATACCTGGGACAGAGGTCGGCTACGCTGGGTACGGCGCTGAGAATCACGGGGTATGACGACGATTTTGTTAAACATACTTGACGTAATAAAATTACTGGAATATAAAAATGTTTATGTGTACTTCATTATAACAGGAGACAATGCGCCACCATATGCACGGCATGGACCTCGAGGTCCAGTCTGACGAGGAGTGCGGCAAGCTGGTGGAGTACGACCCTCAGGACATGCTCTGTGCACGAGGACGGCCGCCGCGGTACGACTCCGCGTGCAATGTGAGTAACTAACATAAACAACCACCTTTATAACTGAATATTTTTTTTTAATTTTCAAAAATAGAACTCTTCTATATTTGAATATTGTTATTCTTTTTAATTTTCAAATATAGAACCCTCCTACACGTGGATATTTTTGTTCCTTTAATTTTCAAAAATAGAATCTTTTCCTCTACAAGAATGACTTCATTCATTCCTATGTTGTATGTTTCCAGGGAGACAGTGGAAGCGGCCTTATAAGGAATGGCACTATAATCGGCATAGCGTCCTGGGTTGAGGACGATGCCACCGTCTGTAGGAACGGCGCTAAAGTATATTTCTCCCGGGTGTCCAGCGCCAGACACTGGATCAGACAAGTCACCAAGATATAATAGATTAGAATAGATACGCGGTAATATAAAACCAAAGATAAAAAATATACTTAATAATAAATATAGTGGAATATAATGATATTTTTTATCTAAAAACAGAGATCAAATGAATTGGTTGTCATAGGCGATGAATAGATGTTTAGTTTCTTTTATACATTATACATATCATGCAAACTAAGTTAATGCAATTTGTCCAGGACATAGATACTTTTGGTTCGTGATTTAGATATGACAATTATATTATAATAAATATCGCATAAATACTTTTTGTTGTGATCGGTACTTAGGAGCGATTTTATTACTAGTATAAGAGAAATTTAAATTAAAATACAAAAGATAAGTACATATCGATGAAAGACGAAGGAAGGAAAGACGTGAGACGACACATGTATGTCGAATTCCATATAATAACCAGGAACTGTTATAAAATAGCGACTTTTCGATGTGATTGTTATGATAAATACTTTATAATGTGTTTCAAACGACGTTATATTTAGGTATAACTACCTAAATTCTTATCAAACGTTATAAAACAAAAACACATAAATCACAAAATAGTTTTACGTAAACGTTGAGATGATTATTAAAATATATTTAACGTCTTTATTATATAATAAAATATATTTTGTTTAAATTTGAATATAGTTTTATTTTTTTCATCTACACTAAATACTATTCTTAATTATAATAAACTTTCATCAATAGACCATATTGATTTCATACTTTAAAGCTACATACTAATATGAGATCTCTATTTTTTGGTCTATCTATCAAGGTCAAGACATATTTTTTTCTTAAAAATCTTGTAATATCTCAAATTGGGAATAAAATACTAGGTCTTAAATGAATAATATAAAAATATAAATGTCAAATCAAATTTCAAGTAGCGTAACTTTCACTCGTCTATTACAGCATGACGTATTTTAAACACTTGTATTAATATTCCCTGACATAGGTCTCTACGACAATAATGTGTATATTTCATTGTGTCAAATGTTTAATTTTTTTTTGTACAATTGACTATTACTTGGCCGAAAATGATTTTTCGTTTTGGCCTATTTCAGTTTCACGATGAGGCAACCAGTTGTATGCTCGAGAAGGTGGGTCGTTAAGAACATCGCGCTGATGGGAATTATAGACTATACCTTTTGAGAGACTTTAAATATTTCTTGCTAGAAATTTCAAGAGCCAGAAAACTCATACTGTCTTCAATTCGTACAGTTCTGGGACACAATGCGTACAATAATGACTATAATGCTCATCATATAACATTTTGTATTAGGATGACTAAGGCAGTGTACAGATTGGGGCTCATAAATTATGTCGATTTTCGTGTAATACTTCCCAGTTCTCGATTAAAACATGCAATTTGCTAAGACAATTCCCTAGTTCTGGAAGAATTTTGTTGTTTTATTATCTTTAAATCATCTCTCTGTATTTGTTGACGGTGCAGGAAGAATTTTTCAATAGAAAGTGCGATAAATATGATATAATTTTGGAGATTTTATGTTTGAAGGTCGTTTCCACTGGGTCGTCATGTAACAGTACTCACTATCACTCTAACTTGGACTTTAAGAAGATATTAATTAACAAACAACCTTTATCTAAATATATACCTAAAAACCAGGAAATGTGGAATCAGATGTCAAATACCTCTCCTGAACCTCCAACTAATTAACCACAATTTGCAGACCTATGTTATGAACGGATTGTGTTAGCGGTACCAGAAAAACATTTCGAGTGGAGACTCGATTGTCACTCACTTTGCGTAAATCGCCATAGGCTTAATGTCAGCCCCTAAAGATGGCCTTTCTGAGGTTGACATAAAAAGGGGTCTAACAATAAGCACTAAAGGCAGTTCTTTTGAACAATTGTAATAATTTCAATTTAAAGTAGGCCATCATTAATATAAGGCCTTACCTAGAGGTTTTGTTGCCTTACGAGCTGATTGAGTCGACTGAGCAGAGATGATTCTGAATATTCTCCGTCTGAAGCTAAACCCCAAACCATTATTACATCACAAAAATACTGTCACCACAAAAAATCGAAAGCAAATTTAAGTTTGTATTACATAAAAGTTTTTATAAACCAATAGCGGTATCTGGTTCTCATAGCCTTGGTTTAATATTGAATCAAATTGTTTGTCAGCCCAGGTGAGCCGGAACTCGCCTTATCCCCCCATCGCGCCATTTTAACTAAAATAACCCTTACTTAATTCAAAGAACTAAATTCAGTATAGTGTAACAACTGGTAACTTAGTGACAAAAATATGATTTTTCCCTAAAACAAAAATAAATTAATGAATATACTGTTCCTTATTTTGAAATGAGTCATGTAACAAAAATTACGTTAATAACAAGTGATTCAAACTACTGCGACAAAAAAAATTCATTCGCTTAAATTTTTTTTTTTGGATTGCAGAAATTTAAAGGAACTGACACTTTTTTATTTACAATATTATTAAAATATGAATTTGCTCCAAAAACAATCACTTGCCTGTAAGTCGACCTGGGAATCACATTAATATAGGTACCGCTGTCGACTGTTTCATTTTACCTTACTCATGGACAGCTTGGAAACCTGTTTCTATATTTAATACATACATTAAAAATAGATTTACGACGGGGTTATTTACTCAATAAATTATATCCGCCTCAATATAAAATCTCTATGAAATTTAGTGATCCTTGTCATTACTGATCGATTGAACAACAATCTCAGTACAGAATAATTTCTTCATCAGAGCCTATTATATACAATATAATAGCAAATTTATAGGCAGCACATTATTTGTAAATGTGAAAGCGAGGTTTGTATCACCTTTCAAAGTTATTGTAAAATGTGTTTTCATTGTGTTCAAAGATAACTTTTGTATTATTTGCACATTGGACTACTTTGTGCTGTTTTGTCATTGCTCTATATTTTTTCTAAGTTCTACTTATTGCAGTCTAAATTGTAACTGGATATTAAAAATAAAACCTGTTCTAAATTAAAATATATGATTTATATTCGAATACAAACTTCACAGTTTTGGTAAGTATATATGGATATTTAAAATTTCTTCACTCACTTGTTCCTTCTGAACAGTGAGGTGTATACACAAGTGTTACAATAAGAAAGGGTTAAAATAATAAAACAGATTTATGTTCCTGGAAATTTAATGACTTTAATAGAAGAATAACTAAATTAAAACAGCAAGATAGAAGAAAAAATCATCATTATTAACATATTTTTATCTGATTATGTTCAAGCAAAAAGAACAAAATTAATCAATGACCTAACAAAATATACAACAAAAGTCATTAAATAATTAAGTCCAACCAATCAGTTAGTCTACTGCGGACGACCGTAGCTGTAAATGTATTATACTTTAAACTTCACTAAAATGAACAAGTTACATAATACAACTTACAATTTTTTGAATAATATTGTGAATAAAAGAAAAAAAGCTAAATAATTCTTTCCTACTTATATAATGTGTAATAATATAAAGTGTCCACTACTTATAAATGTATAACTATCGCTTACTTAAAATTTCACACAAAGAGCGGAACGAGGGGGCGCTGCGACTGCGACGCGAGGCGACAGTCTCAGCGCGGTTCCCTCACGCGTTCACCTTATGTTGATAAACACCACAATCTCGCTAACTCTAGGTCACTCATGTCGAATGTTAGACACAGAAGCGACGATTTCCCAAACCGAAATTAAAGTACTAACAATTTGTATAGGACGTCTAATCCAGAGTGTGCGCGAGTGAGTAGTGTCGTGGTCGCGGTCGTGTGTTTACATATCATTAAAACACGAGTCTCGTGAGCAGCGTAACATCTGTACAATTTACAACTAGGCAAATATATGACGGAGGGACGAGCCACTCCCACTCGTTGAGCGACAGCGTACAATTGTTATGTCGATATTCAAGCACGCTAGGCTCTCCGTTGGAATCGTAACAATGTAGCTTTTTTTGGAGTTTTACTTTTTTACAATATATAGGATTTGTTTCTATAATTAATTATAACTAATATTTACAATGGAGGTGAATGGACATATTCAAAACTCTACTTATTATCTCAAAAAAAAAATCATGAAATTCCTACCCAAAAGAACATTATCTACAACTTTAATAAAAACGAGATTGAGCACATTGTATAGTTCGGTCCGGTCGACGGCACGAATGAAGATCAAATGAGAAATAGAAAGACAACGAAAAATTTAGAAAAAATCAATCACACCGATATTTCAGCTTCAATAAAGTGAGTCAGAAGAAAGTTGAGGAAACAACAACAACAATTAATCAATTGGTTCTGTCAATATTTTTGGACGTGCTACACATTTATCAAAGCACTCAAATACAGGGTCACCCTAAACGCTATGGACTAACAAAACTAGCCTCTGTAATAACGTCTCGACTGCTATCAATCAGAGTATTAATTACTAATTCGAGTGATACTTCATTAGTGGCCGGCGACGTGATGCAACAAACTCCCAATCTCTTTTAAAAGCAAAAATTCTCGCCACAAATCAATCTAAACATAATAAGTGATCGAGTCTCTGTCTGTTCGTTATCAATACATGTTATATATCGTTAAGCAAAATAAGAGACACAGGCTCGATCTACACTTTATTTAAACAACGAATACCGACGTGCCGGTGGACTGGAGGGGAGGGATAGGGATAGGGCGGTAGGGATGGGATAGGATGGAGTGGGGAGAGGGGATGGGATGGGGATGGGAGGTAGGCTCATATCTTGTGTATCTTCTGCGAGACGACGACTGGATTGTTGCGTCGGATCTCCTGCGCGCCGAGCTCCCGGTAGTCGAACGAGCACTCGTGCTTGTCGCTGTATCGATGTACGGCGCAGAACAGACCACCGCAACGACACTCGAAACCTGAAACGAGGACAAAATTATCATTTGTTTATCACAAACCACAAATTAATACTGATAAAACACTGATTGCATGGCCGGCTAATTTGTATGTCATAAGTTGATAAGGAATATCGTTTGAAAGCTTGACATAGCAGCTTTGAGGCTGTGAGACTATAGTGAAATTAAGATAAGTCGTAGGTTGAACGGAATATTCCTACATCGAGACGAGGTCGATAACGTTCGCGTGTCGCTCTCGAACCGGCGATAAATACATCAGCCATCGATCGACACACGTGTACAGCGAACGTGTTACTCTGATAACATTATATTGTATAACATCGATATTAAAATGGAACGCAAAATTATTTATTCACGTCCATACTTCGACACAACCCACACAATTAATATTAGACATTGTTTCAACTCATTACATATGTATTTCAATTAAAATGTAGTCATTGTATGATATTACGGTAAATGGTTGCTCGACATGCTTTGATTGTTTTCATATTAAAAAAAACACATCTTTTTAAATGTTTACTTAATTTTGGGGCATCCAAAACAAAACTAAAACCTTAATTTGTAAAACCAAAATAGCAACAATTTTAATTTAATAAAAATTAAAAAATTTGTAATATAATCATTTTTCAGTTTATTATAACCAAAAGTACACTTAAAAATAAATGCAAAATATTATAAATGCAAAAGTAACTGTCTGTCTGTTAGGCTTTCACGCCTAAACCACTGAACTGATTTTAATGAAATTTGGTACAGACAGAGTTGACCTTGAGAAAGAACATAGGATAGTTTTTATCCCAGACTTTTGAAAGGTTCTCTTGGAAACGATATAACCGAACTCCACGCGGGCGAAGCTGCGGGCGGAAAGCTAATTTAATATAATGTCTTTATAAAGTCATCCATAATATTTCGCCCGTCTATCACCATGTATCTGTAACGCTCACCTGTGAGGCCGACCTTCTTGCGGCAGACGGCACATCTATTCTTTTTCTTTTTGTCCTTGCTGGGGTCTTTGTCGTCAGCGTCCGTGTCTGAAGCCCCCGTGCTAGCGCCGCTGGTGCCCGCTCCACCCTCCTCTTCGAATTTCTGTGAACATACATTTTATTCAGTAACTTTCTACTAGGTACATAATATGTATATATGTAAAGTGTGTTAGTTAGTGCCGACGGACCCGTTTCAGATTCTTTTTACTACCGTCCACGTCAACACTGGCCGCCGGTTCATCTTGTACGGTGTTCCGTGTTTCGTTAATGTCTACCGTCTTCTTCGCCGGCCGTACATCTTCTTCTATCTTAATCTTTTTGCTGTATTCGGCTACCTCGCTAGTGCCGTCCGGTGTAGGTAGCGGCGTGCTGTCGTTTATTTCTATAGACGCTCGTTTATTTTCGAAACTCTTCGATCGCGACCCAATGCTGAGGTCGAGCGGTGAGTTCTGACTGTTGTTGCTCGACTTACTGTTCCTCCGTAACGCCTTCTTTAATATCCGTTTCCCTTTCGACTCTTTTTTACTAGGGTCATTTTCCATTATTGTTATCCTAAGTATTTATTATAATAACTAAGCATTTTGTGTGAAATTTGTACAACGTTAACGAAATAGTTCATAGATCGGTTCCGATGACAATAAACCGACACATTTGTTCAACGGGATCACTCCGACGCACTATTAATATATCATAAAGTCCGGCATTTTTGATTGCGTTTTTATAATTATAATGAAATTAATGTTACATTATTATTTTAATTACATTTTACACAAAAAACTGTTAGAAAAAAAATTTAATATGTTTTATTTTTGTATTTCCTGGTTACATCAAATGTCTCTTTGACGTTAATTCTTATTTCAAAACGTACGAGTGCCAGTATTGTACTATTGAGAATATACATACTACAGATGATATATAAATATTGTTATATATGGAGTTTAAATTATGAAATTACATTGCTTTATGGAAATTTATTACGATATTAGACCATTTTACGATATATAAAATTTTAAACAAAACATAAGTATATTAAAAAGGGTAAGATACTTCTCCTTGGAGCCGTTTAATTCACGAGTAAAATTGATTCCTTTGACGCTATTTATAGGAGTATGAGAGTTTGTATGACGGTCGTTGGACAAGTTTTGTATAGACACAAATCGTATAGTATATTCAAATCAAATCATAGTAAGGTCATTGCCGAATATCTGTCTCCATGTGAATCGTATCTTTTGTAATATTTGATCAACTATAAATCTGAATGGGCTTAATGAATTCGTTTTTGGCCCGCCTCAAATAGACGACCTCAATTCTGCAGTCGTTCGTTAATCAGATCGTGTGGACATACGACCTTACAATGACTGTCTTTATATCGAGTGAGCGATATTTTTATTCCATCATATTATAATTTGCAAGAAATCAACTCTTTGAATTGTATTATGAGAATCACACAGAGAAAATCAGCGAACCGCATTATTTCAATACATAATATTGTGTCATTTGATAGATAATGATATTGAATAAGTGGTTGAGATATCCTTACTACATGTTTCCATTGTTTACTGTAGAACTGAAAGTTTTTAACCGATTCGAAAAAGGAAGAGTTTAGCTTAATCAGTATTTTTACTTTTTAAGTTCACCACTGGAAATAAATACGTAAGTTTTATAAAGAAAAACAGTATGTCTATCCGTAATTATTACGATTTAACGAAATACTAAGGGGGAACGTATAGCGAGAAATATGATATACATGATCTATGTCCATAAATATTATTAAGGGCGCTATATATGACGCGATCTTTGCTTTCCATCCAGCATCTGAACGCGGTAGTTCAATCAAATCCAAATATAGCTTCTATATGCACTTAGATATTCTCGGACGCTGCGTATTAACTTCGGGGGACAAAGAACACTTTAAACAATGTAAAGTAAACCGAATACGAACAAACATTATGTTATAACAAAGTTTTTGTTTTAAAACACTCGTGGTATGAATCATCGAACCGAAAAATGAATCTTTATATATAAGTCGCTACTCATATAATGTAATATACGTATATGAAGCTAATTTGATATGTAAAATAGTACAAAAAATCTGGTTTTTTATATAGCAAGTGTATGGACGATAATGTTAACAGCGGTCGGCGACGCGTCCTACGGTATATGTCAACGATCTCATTAAACTTCACACTGAAATATTGTTTTAAATAACAATAAAAAAAAAATATACTAGCCATGATAAGTATGAGACGTGGCCGTGAAACGATCAATGCACTACGTAAGGGAGTAAGGCCTTGGATTGGACGAAGTTTGAGATACAAACGGATTCACAGTGTGTTAATAAAAAGTAATCATTAAACTTAAATCATATTCAAAACCATGCAAAAACCGAAAACTAACACATCCCTTCATATTGTAATGTTAAAGTATTTCATTCACAATAAATATGTATATCAAACTTTTGTATATTAATGTTTTATTATAAGTCCTTTTATAATAAAGTCAGAAGTCTTTGTAGATCATTAATACATATATAATTTAACGAGCAAACCCATAGGATTTTTATTAGTGATGCGATCGACATTTAGCAGCTGATTTATGCGTTTAAAAGGCTCTACGTGCATATGTGTGTGTATATATATAATAGTAATGTGGCCTCACGTCTGTCTGCTGCTGCTGCGCCTGCGGCAGTGTGGGCACCGTGGGCGCGGCGGCTGCCAGCGGCGTGGGCGCGGGCGCCGGTGTGGGCGTGGGCGTGGGCGTCGACACGAACGAAGACGACACAGCTGACGGCGTACTCGCTGGGGGTTGCTGCTTCTTCTTTAAGGCTTCCTGTAATTACACAAACATACATACAGATATATTTGTATGAGAGTATGATACAACTATACATTCATAATACAACACATATGTCACAAGTTATATATCTAATATCTATTAGTTTTAATTTGTTTAAAGTGTTGTTTAGACCTTAAAATTTGAGGCATAACATAATATACAAAGATACTAAAAGAACACAATCATCATTGTGATAAAGTGCATTCACAAAAATAAAAATGACGTAAGTTTAATTTTATCGGTAATGAACTAAAATAGAAATAGTAAAGGGTACAAACACTTGAATTAATTTAACATCCTGTACAAGCTTCTTAGATTATAAATCTCATGATGTACTCATATCCATACACAGAAACACTCCTGTATCATCAATCAATATATCTCATTATAATTGAACCAAGCACAATAAAATATGTATTAAAATATATTTCTATATAAAATATTTCTAATAAATAAAACCTGAGCTACACACAGACATACCATTGTATATATAAATTTATAAAATGACTGTGTGCTCAGACTTAATTTATATTGTATCTGATATGGAATATGTTAATCTAGATGATTATGATAACATTATGTGATATAAAAACATTTATACATTACACTTGATACATTATAAGTAACAGTATATAATAAGTAACATTTGTGTACAAATAAGGAAACATCAAAATACAAATCAACAAAATAACTACTCAACCTTGATTGTATGGTGAACAAGATGGTATTTTAAAACCAGAATTATATTATCAAAATAAAAATTTTATACACATGAATGTTATTTGTGGTCATGTTATGTCTACTAACAGATTGCTTGTAATAAAAATTTCAGAAAAATAAAACTATCAAATTAATCTAAGTTTTTGTCTTGAAGTTTAAAGTAATTTTAATATAATTTCTTTCTATTTTACTTAGTAGTCGGACTGGGAAACAACGTGGATGACTATTTTGGAACTACTCTATAATACATTAGGTATAGACATAATTATCAAACCGGTAGATGTCCGACGCGCGGCCAGTTTTCACTTTTCAAACATTCTTTCATTAACTTTAATCAAAATTTTTGACATGTTTGATCTTGATTTAAGGTTTGTTTATTAAATTGTACTTATTATTTTTATATATTTGTATGCAATGTTACACTTAAAATCTTTTCGTAATAGAAATCTAAGATACATTTTCAAAGTATCACTAAACTTAACTTAGGTATATTTCTTTGCGATTGTCAAGTATGTAGAAAAGTTCTTATATAAAATACAAAGAAGTCTCATATCAAATTATATCTAATAAATTATTTAAATAACACGTAGTAACAGTAGATAAGACTATGAAATGGTTTTTGAACAGTCTAGAATCAAACTAATTGTTAATAAAATCGTTCTAGTGAATGTAACCTTACGGTAGAAACGCGTAAATTATTTAAAATTCATTAATTCTATAGATTAATAGAGAAACACGCTCTAGTTTTTTAAATTGATTAAAAATAAACGATGGTTACTAGTATAACTACAATGTCAGGCGCTATCAAATATTTTCATAAGTCGATGTCAAAGGTACACATTACTTCAAAGTATTGTCCATCCTCTTTTATATAGAGCATTAATGTCATCATATTTTTTATATATACACATCCAGTGTTCATTGCCAGCGGGCTGCGAGCGATCGTAATGAAATACCAAGGCTGTTGACCTCAAAAAACAAAACACTAAACAAACAGCTGGTAATGTGGGCGAAATGTAATTTTTTAAATTGGCGTAAACAATTTCAATAGATGTATGAACAAAGTGGTGGTTCTCTATCTCTGAGTAAGCATGCCGTGTTCCGCATCCCTATAAAACACTCACACTGTAAACATCGTGAATTTACCTTAAAGCAAACTGAACAAAGTCCATCGGTCGAGGGGTTTCCGTAGAAGCCACATCCCGATCGGCACAACGCCTCCATCGGATTCGATTCCCTCTCCATAGTTCCACGTTATTTTCACTTTTTAAACAACAATGTCAATATGATTGCACTATCAGTATATTGCACTCGTTTGTCACACAACGTCCACAGATCACAGTCCAATGCACCCCGACACCTTATAATAATTTGCGTGTAAGCGTCGCTCGCTGTGTCGGCGAACGCGGCTACTCCTATAGCCGTACAGCTGATACTTCTTTCTGTGTCAGGATCGTGAAGGGGCCTGTAACAATATCATTTGATATCAATACAATATAACAAACATATCGGTGTTTAAACAGTATTTTATTTTAGTTTTCTTATACGAATAAAATCAACGATTCATATAATAGGTATGAGTCATGTGTTTTTCACTTCTGTTATTCAATTTTTATGATATCTCACGTACGAATTTAAAACGCAGAAAGATAAACGTGTCGCAAACGTACTATTTACTATAACCTGACGAACATCAACGGCGCACATAACACAGAATACATAGCACGCATTATAGAAAGTAGTATCAAAGGCGCTGTTTCGTGGAGGCAAAACATAATATGCATAACGACAGGTTTGCATAACAAGAGAGAGCTACGTTAAAGTAGAACGCGCCCGCCAAGCTGAAATCGCGGCCCGCCTCAAGGTCCTCTAGTCAGACTGTCCCAGATGTAGCTCGAGCCTCCACTTGGCTGAACATCTTGCAACTTTCATCGTGACGCTACGATTAGATCACTCCTAGCCAAGCTGTTTTATGAATACGATTATTTCAAACTTGCTATCATCATTAACATTTGTTTAAATGCATATATTTACGACGTGTTGACGTTGACGCGAAAACAACTAAACTTAGACTGCACACCAGAATAACACGGATAATTTATAGACATTGCAGTATAATTTAGCCAATGTCGAGCTAGATTATAGGAAATATGAAATGTAATCATACAGAAGAATGACGCTTATTTTATATTTATATAATTTTTAGTTTTATTACAAAAATTTACTGAACCTACTGAATTTAATATAATCATGAAAAGAACACATCTTGTCCTATACATACTTAGAAATCCAAACGTAAACACGTTATACGAGAATTAAATGTAAAATTATAGCTTCATTTAAATTAGATTGTACAGTTATTCTGTTGTTTTGCGAAGAAAACACATTAATGAAAGTGATATGAGGCTCCAACAGCCTGGTGGCGGGGGTAATGCCCCGGTCTTGTTCGTAGCTCAAGTCATCGACCGTCGTTGAGATCTAAGGGGTGCATACACTAGATGATTACGGTACATTGTATAAAAGACGCACAGACAGACGGACACTCCGGCGCACGTGACGTGGAACTCGTTCCGAACCACTATGAAACAACTTCATATATTTCGTAACGTTTCATTTAACACCTGTTTTGATTTAACACAATGCTTCACAGTATTAAACACCTGTGAGGCAACTCATTATAAATGTCAATTCATTGTCAAATGTCAAACAGCCGTCGTTTGCATGAGCTGAGAATTTTATTTTTCCTCCTCGGAAATTCTAGATTTAATGTTAGTTGAAATTACGCTCGTTGAATAAAGATTACCTCTTTCTATATATTTTTTTGTTATGCAATACAACACAATCACGAATGCGTACAGTTTTATAAGGTACTTAAAATTAATGAATTTCACGTTTTTCAAACAAAAACTATAGTTTAACGAAATAATCGTGTTTTAATGTTCATATGATAACCATGAGCCAGATCGTGTTCGCGTGAAATATTATATTATGCAATTGACCTGCACGAAGCCGCTTAGAAAATATACTAATAGTAGGTACCAAGAAACTTAGATACAACAATCATTGTACGAGTCTTGTTTTAGAACAAACACGTTCAATAAAGATACCACGACCAAAATTCCGTGCAAAATATTCCATTAACAACTCAAATGTTTCAATCGCAACACGTCTCAAAGGTTATCTAATCTAATCTATATCCAGGATGTTCTATAGTTGTAGATGGTAGGTGGTAGATGCTAGATGTGCTCTATCTATAAATGTATCTCTGCCCCGTGTACCGCCGCGCCCCGCTGACCTACTTGCTGAATGCTCGCTACGCAATTCGAGCACGACCCGCTTCGACTTGCATTAACAGAACCTCTAACGTGTTTACTATTTTAAACTTTTAAACAACACGTCATATAACATATTGGTTTCAACATTTATTTCATTATAACATATAAAAACATTCAAACACTCATTGTATATCATCGGTACTAATTTAACGATGTTCAAACACGACTTTCACAGTAATCTTTGTAAGATGCAAGTTTTTAACTAAAGCGAAACGAATTTAAGTAGAAAAACTATTGCTATATGAATGTTTTTCATTCTTTGTCAGTACATATTTCGTCAGCATATGGTAGTGGTGGTCCGTGGTACCCCCCGCTAGCATGTGTACACTGTATCGAGGCACGCTCACCGCTCATATTCACCCAGCGACAAAACGTGACTCACCAGAAGAAGCCCTACTCCATAACAACATTTATAAATGGAATTTCATATCAATAAATAGTATGAACAAAAATTTGATAAAACAAAGAACCGCTCTAGTGTAATTGAAATGAATTGACCTTAATACATATGAAGTATTTACATTAATCTAACGTCTAGAATAATGACGTGCCTGTGGCGTATCTAATTAAACTGTCAATTATTTCAGTGACATCAAAACTGTAGAGTGTAGACACATTATCGGTACTGAATAAAAGCATTATATGAAATGCACTTTCAATAAATAAAAAGCAATCTTGAAACCATGTAACTTCTAAAGAACGAATGTAGGTCAACCCACGAATGTTATCATTGACTCAATATATCAAATATAAAGCGGCCGATACAAAATACAGGTCTGACCAGCGACACAACGGTAACAGTAACGGTAACTGAAAAAAAATATATCGACCACTCGAGATAACCCTCGGAAATGAGAACATTAAAAATATAAAGAACACTCAGATTAAAAACGAAAAAGTTAATTGCGTCCCATTGTGTAATTAACCTCAAACACTATCGTAAGTAAACCAAAATAATATATTTTAAAATTAGAATGTGGCTTCATCAACAATCCTCCGAAGAATACGACAAAGCGAACAAAAACGAACAACAAACATACACGGAAACCAAACGAGGTCGATACAATTATACCCCGGCATGTAATCTGCGTTAGAAAAACTACAAAGGCATCAGACAAATCAACAGGCTAGCAACCAATAACACATCTATCAAAGCGGAAACGCTACACACCTAAAATAGAAGTGCCAGGGTCTCGGTTTGCAGGCTTCCGTGTGAATGTTGAGCCTCGCGACGTGGAAGTGTTTCCTCATCGGCCGTCAACAGGTTTATTCGTTTGTAACAAAGCGTATTTCAGGACTAAGGACAATGACATAGCGTTGTGAGAACTGCGTCACAAACGTGAACAATGACGCTCCTACAATGGAACTCGCTCGCCAAGATGGCCGCCGCGCCGTCAGCTGATTGCGCACACGCAGCTGTATTAGCGTTTCACGTATAGCTCTCTCTTTCGGTGGCGTTGATTATACGCGACTCTCATTGTCACATTCGCGATATTTAAAGTCAATAATTAACATCGTGCGCAGTACGATCGGAATAATAATACGAAAAACAAAAGGTTATAACAAAAACATGTACGTATCAGACGATATAAAGAGTTCACCTAAGCGAGATATGAGAAAAGTTGTGTTATACGAATCAAACTCCTGCTAAAACTTGAAAACAAGAAATTGACGAAATTTGTCCGTCTCGCGAAAATTCTATAAGACAGTAACTTATTATATAAGATAAAGATAAGTTCGGAGTAACTGAAAATAGATCTAATAACATCCAATAACAATTTATATTAAGTTTAAATAACGATAATCACTACATTTTTTATCGAAAAAGTAATTATTTATATAATATATTATTCCACTAACTTGAATATTGATTATACGAACTTCAACAATTGATTTAATTACAGATTAAAAAAATACTTAATGACTTAGCAAAAGGAAAAACGTGAATAAGGTAAAGAAGGAATTTATTAAAATTACTGTCACAAAATTATGATTCTTTTAATAATTTTGAACCCACCATCAATGTTAAATTCATAAAAATATTGACTTAAATATATAAAATTAATTTGTATATTTAATAAAGTCTTATTAAACAAATGAAGTAAGGACGTATTCTGAGTCTAATTATGATAAACATCTCTATAATGAACTATGAACTGCAGGATATGACCACTTACATCGAGTTTACACTACGATAACATATAGTTAGAGGACGTTTAACATCTTTAGTAATTAAGGACGACTTCGTATAAATAGAACGCGGAACAGAACCATTAATATAATAAAAAAATACTGTAAAACAAACTCTAGTCATTTAAAAGAGACATTTTTCTTAATTGCATCAGATCAAAACGAGCAAGGACATTGAACTTGTGCCATCAAGGTCAGGGCGGCGGCCTTCATACAGCCTCGTCTAGCTAGCGCCGAGACTCCTCTCGACATTACGCGAAACAAACCACACAGACAGACAACGTGCAACCACAACAATTACCTCCAAACGACAGAACAATCCCATGGCCGGTTATAAAAACTCTAGAGCACTCCACTTTATTATACGTCTATCACAAACACATATAATAATATAATGATATATTTTCACTATACACGTTATATTATTAACAAACAAACACGGCACTCGATATAGAGCTGATATGTAAGTATATCGGCCTCGCTGAACGAGCTCCGAGCACTACGACGTTACGACACACACTGACAGCCGTCCAACGGTCACCGCGGGTTGCCCACCGCTGCCAGTCGCCAGTCGCCACCCGTGTATCAACGTCACCGCTCCACACACGCACTCACCAACACAAACAAAGATCTACCATTAAACTGATAAACATGCAAAACATTCAGTACACGGCTCACAAAGACACGGAACATGACTGACGGGAACGTGTTCCTCTTCATCACGACCCAACCAGTCATCACGGAGCGATTTGATAAATAGGTACAACGGTTATAAGAAATGATGACTCACAAATACTATGGTGATGAATGCGTCATCACCACTTCCCTAAAATGCGCTCTATAATGTTTACTGTTATTATGCGGTGTAAGTGAACAAACGGACGTAAAACTGATAATTTTAGTGGGCAAACATATTTTTAGAACAGAATTTTATATACCTAGAATTTTTATATAATTGATTGTTATCTAGTAGTGCAAAGTTATTTATCAGTAGATATGTCAAATGAAGGGTGAACAAACGAATTTACAATATAAAGCAAACGAGACCATTGCGGGTGCGTTGCACGCAGACAAAGCCGCGACGGTACAAGTCGTCGATCTCCCCCAAATTAGTCCTGGGCCAGGGCGCTGACCCCGCCAGCCCAGCCACGCGCTTGCCACATCTCACGAGGTGTGGATTAACTCAGACGGCGCATTTCGATTTTAGACTACTTTCGATAAACCTTTTATACACTAAAGTGTAAACAAACATTTAACCTTGAGGTTTTAATTATAATGACATAAATGTACGTGTTTACTAATACTTTACAAATGAGCAAAGTATTTACAATGAATGCTCTTTGTTTTAATGAGTTTAATTCATATTATCCACGATGCGATGGTTGGCGCGCACGTCCCATGGTGCATAGCTACACACTATAAGAGCATGACGCGGCTTTTTTCGAGTGTTATATTATAAATGACTCATTAACAATAGCATTTCATATTTATCGTTAAAATAGTCCAAGAATGACTATTTATTAATAAATCATCTTACCTGATGTTGGAAGAGTGAGTTCCGTACAAGACAAATGTCTTTCCAAGTGCGAAGGCCCGTCAGCTCACAACCAGGCGACACCACGTCTGTGCAGTAGTAGTCAGCATCCACCGGCATCACAATGAATAGTTACTCCACCTGATGATACAACACACATAGTTTTGTTATGTAATTGTGACTTTTGTTCCAATATTAATGTACCTGTACATTAAGTATGACTAACGCTTCAAAGACTAACGAGATTCTAAAAATAAATTAGACTTTATAGCAACAAATAATTTAAACAGTTGCCAATACATTCTAAACATATTCAATACAAAAACAAGTTTTGAGAGAAGCATTGTATGAGAAAGTATTAATTAGACATAATTATATTCTATAACAGATATACTGTGAAACATGGTTTTTTATGGCGAACTGCCAAATAAGTACAATGGTATTCCTAACAGAGTGCAAACATAACCAAATAGAAAAACTTGTCAAGATATCAGACAGTGTAAGCAAACATAATACAAAGCCAAACAACTTTTATATTCTTCATAACTTCTTTATCGACTAAGATTATTTTAAATAAGCCACAAAATAACTTGACTTTCATGAATTATCAAAGTATGAATCTGATTAAAATTACACAAAAGAAGCATAACAAATAATTTCTTACACAAAAAATATGATATATAGCTACAGGTATTTGTGTAAAAACTAGTTACCTCATTAGATTTTGAAAGGCTAGAAGTCATAAGCAGCAAATTCCAGACATTTCGTCAATAGCCGTGGACACTAAAAATAAATATCAGTATAACCGCTGAATACATACAATTTTATTTTTATCATATTCAAATTAACTACTAATATAAATACATAAATAAAATTTATAAGAATTAAGTTATTCTGTTTACTATAACTTGACTGTTAATTGTTAAGCACTGTTTCTAGAACATTACAATAAAAACAATATTAATAATTCATTAACTCCATAAACAAGTTAAATTTATTTATTTATTTTGATTTTGGCTACTATGGAAAGATTTCATTGGTCCCAAAATACAATTTTTTATATGAGAGGGGACCAACTGTTAAATCTAATTTTGCTGGGTCATTGAGTTATTTAATAACTGGCACAAAACTAAAACAGAGTAATATAAAGACAGTTTATGGACAAACATTCAGGAATTTCTAGACTTATTGAAAATTAACACAATATATACGCGTGTTGCAACAACAAGCATTTGTATGAACACATTGTAATTAGTGAACAATGAACATCATAAAACTATTAACCTTTTGTCATTTTCTAACACTTTTTGTTGATTAAAACGATAATATCTACAATTTTATTAAATGAGATGTACTGAGCTATTCAAATTCAAGTAACACATAAAAAAAAACAAACCGAGGATTCTCATTTGACGTATTTGTAAATTCTTTTATTTTTATTTATTGTTGTTTTATTGAAAGTTAACTACATTTAGCCATAATTTAAGTTTAATATGTAATTATAAAATCAAATATATATAGTTATGCATACACGTCCAAGGTGGTGGTGTCATGATTAAAATGCGTTCAAGCCATACATAACGAAAGCGCAATTACGTTCAAATAATTATATTGGTGAATATGTCTCATCAAATTTACATCAAATATTATTGGAGACTAAGTTTTTATATAGTAGTTATATTATTTGAACTTAAAAACAAAGAAAATATTGGAGAACTTCGATAATTGGCATTCACGAAGTAAAATGGCGTCATATCACACTAGTCACGGAAGAAGGTAGAATTTTGTTATATAAAAGCACGTAACACGATCACGATCGAACACTTTAGAAAGTATTTAACTGTAGTTTTAAGAATTTTTTTCTCAAAATTACTCACTTTGAATACGAATTCCAAAGAAAATCATCCAAAAACTTAATGGACTGATGACAAGGCACTCCACTCACCGTTTGCAAAACCTAGACTACACAGATCACGTGACCAAAGTGAGGTTACCAGCTTATATAGAAATCATTTTATAAACAAAATCGTGAAAAACAATAATCATTTTTTCAAATATGATAAAGTTTAATAAAAATGTAATGTTATATGAGTTTTAAATATTTTATAGACTTAAATAATTATTTGAATTGTTCTGCTTTTTGTCTATACTATAGCCGACCTTAATTTTCAAATATAATATGTTCTTAACAATGCATACAAGATAAATATATTTTCTTCTCAAAGTTATTCTATTTTGTGTAAAAAAAATGTATAAATATATATCTAAGTTTTCAATATATGATTTGTCTAAGATCCGTATTTGAGTTCTCTAAAAGTTTTTTAGACTTAAGGGAACTTGTTAAGAATCGTCTTTAACCTGTCTGTTTATTTCGATTAGGTATATAACGAAACAAATATTAAAGTACCAGTTAGAAAGTCTCAAATTCAGTAAAGTCTCAAAGACTATAATCTTTTAATTTAAATGAATAACTATTGAGGAAAATCTTTAGAAAAAAACATAGCTTATAAATGTTTTTGAAGATTCATCAAAAGTCTAAAAAAGATTCTTAACTTGAAGTAATATTTTAATAAAATGATATTTTTAAAAATTCTTCGAGCATTATTTTTTTGGTTTATTTTCAGAATATCTATTGGATAAGTTGGTTTGAGAAAAAGAGCAACAAAAAAATCACAATTCTCATAAAATTTGCATTACTTCGAAGCTTGTTGGTAAAACTAGAATTCTTATGTAGTAAGTATATTATGTTTAGGTAGCGAGTAAATAATATTAATAGAATTAAAATATTTACTTTAATGTTTATATCAATATATAACCTTTTGTTTTTAAAAAGAATATTTTAAGTATTAAATGAAACTTTTTTTTCTTCCAACTGATGTTTATATTATTGACACTGACACGTGAACGGTGAAGTTGACTTGTCAATTTTGAAGTGAAATGTGGATACATGCGGAGCTGTACCACTTAGTGTAGTTTTAACTAATTTTAAATACATACGATTATTTATTAAGCAGTAAGGATATTGGACACGATTTATTACTATCACTGATATAACTAATCACCTTACTTATTTTTTATTTATTAGTTTGTATACTTTTCAGTCTTAGATAAGGGATTCTCGTTCCCAAAAATGCCGACAATTTCTGTAAAACGTGATGCACTTTTCGCAGCCTTGGGAAAATCTTACAGTAATGTTGCATTCAATCATAATATGATAATATACAGGGTGACTGGTGAATTACTATCAATATTTAAGGAGAATACTCGGTACATGATTCTCATTCGAATTATGTAAAAAAAATAGGTACTTAATTTTTGACAAAATTTCCGTATAAATAAATAAAGTGTTGACACGTTCCAAGTGTTCCAAGTGTGGACGCGTGCGGCGGCGTGCTGATACAACACAACGCCGCCGCACGCGTATGTGTGAGTGTGTGTGTATACCTAATCTGTAGGGTGTTCACACGATGCGTAATTAATTACATAACTTTTGGTTAACTTTACTCAGAAGTTTATTAATATTTATGTTATATTAATTTTTATTTTGTTATATATGATCGTCAAATATCACGTCCTCAAATATCGATAGTAATTCACCAGTCACCCTGTATAATTTATTGAATAAAGTAAAAATATCCGTGTGATTATTTTTCAGCTGATGAGGAATTCCAAGATGTGTGTTTTGAATTTGGGCTGGAATTGGATGAAGTGGTAATTATAATGACTTATAAAGCTTTAATAAGTAACATGAATACTTTCTGGATTCTATAAAATTAATATTATTATTACTAAGTTACTAGAAGCATACATTAAGAAGATGACTAAATAAATAAAAATGATTACTATTAAAAACTTTAACAGACAACAGAGAAGCAGATGTTGATAAAGGAGCAAGGAGATCAAGCAGGTGCTGGAGTATCAGAGGAGGTTTTATATCGAATTGATATACCAGCTAATAGATATGATTTGCTGTGCCTTGAAGGACTTGTCAATGGTATACTTGTATTTCAGGGCAAGTAAGTGAATATTTTTAAAGAATAATTATGTGTGATCATAGATTAAAACTCTTAGTGTATTTAAAATTTAAAAAAAAATCAGTACAGTGTATATTTCCTCCTTGGAGTAAATTAAAAATAATAATACATCTATTTCAAATGTATACAAATAATCCAATTTGAATATTGCTATTTTATTATGAGATGTATACTTGTATTGGTGGATATTTTTTATATAACATTTTAATCTTATGTATTTCGTAAATACAATTAATCTATCTCTGACAAGATTTATGAAAATATTATTTATAAACTTTTCAGGAAATCCCCACCGATTTTCAAGTTAAAAAAGTATGAAGATTGCTACTCCCTACATTTAACACCAGCTACAGCTCAAATCAGGCCTTATGCTGTGGCAGCTGTACTTAAAGGAATATCTTTCACTAAAGCTAGCTATGATAGCTTCATAGAATTACAGGTAAAAGAACAAGTTGAAAATGTATGCATGTTGTGTCTCTATGTTTAATGTCTCTATAAACAAAACTGTGAAGATATTTTAAAAATTATGCATTGTTATTTTATTATGAGTTTTTTACTCATGTATAAATCTACCAAATTGGAAATATTGCATGCATTGTCTCTAGAAATGCCACTTTACATAAGAGATATTATAAAAGTGGATGTAATTATATTTCATTAGGAGAAGTTATATAGTTTTTTTACTTATTTATTTATCTAAATGGGTTATGTGTATTATTTCAGGATAAATTACATCAAAACATCTGTAGAAAACGAACGCTAGTAGCTATTGGTACACATGATCTGGATACTATTCAGGGTCCATTTGTGTATGATGCTTTACCACCAAATGAGATTAAATTCAAAGCTCTCAATCAAACCAAGGAGATGACTGCTCCAGAATTAATGGAATTATACTCTGTGAGTTAATAATATGAAACTATACAGGGTGACTGGTGAATTACTATTACTGTATAATATTTGGGTTGATTTGAATGTTGATCTAGTAAATGCCTCCAATATACAGTTCTATTGGATATTGTTACTTAAACAACAATAGTAGTTTAAACTAAATAAATTTCTGTTTCTAAACTTTTTTGTACACTTAATATTACTACTTTTTATTATTTTATCAACCCTATAATAATGGAAATGTTGTTTCTTTTGTAGACTCATGCTCAACTTAAACAATATCTAAATATTATAAGAGACAGCCCTGTATATCCAATTATTAAGGATAAAAATGGTGTTGTGCTGTCTATGCCTCCGATCATCAATGGAGATCACTCCAAGATCACACTCGACACTAAGAATGTTTTCATCGAGTGTACTGCCACTGATCTCACAAAGGTAAAAAAATTTTCAATCTGGCAACTATTTTTTTTCTTTACTAAAATTATGTAAATGAAACTAATATTTTCGGATTTACTACGCGTTTTTATTTATGACTATAAACTACATACTCCCGACGTTTCGGCTACTTTACAGCAACCGTGATCACGGGCATGCGAGATGTGAGTGTCTGTCAGTCGGTCTTGTTATTTTATCACCTACCACCATCGATTTCTTAGTATGTAGTTTATAGTCAAAAATAAAAACGCGTAGTAAATCCGAAAATATGAGTTCATTTAAATGAGTACTCGCGAAAATATTAGATCTCATTAATATTATGTAGTAGTCTCTATATTAGAGCTGTACAAACCATAGCTGGTTTGCATCCTCACAGCCCGTAGAATCTTTTTCATCTTCTTTGTTTAAATACATTAATGAGCAAATACTGGTTATGATAACGATATTATTATTAATAGTATTTTTATAAATATTTTACATCCTGCCAATGTATTGTTATTTTTATTAGCCCTGGTACCCATCAAATTTGGATACCCCTGCTCTATATATTAGACTAGCTTTCCGCCCGCAGTTTCGGCCGCGTGGAGTTCGGTTATACCGCGTTTTCAAGGGTACCTTTCAAAAGTCTGGGATAAAAACCATTCTATGTTCTTTCTCAAGGTCAACTCTATGTCTGTACCAAATTTCATTAAATTCAATTCAGTGGTTTAGGCGTGAAAGCGTAACAGACAGAGTTACTTTCGCATTTATAATATTAGTAGGGATAATAGTAAACATTTCATATTATTTTTATTTCAGGCAATAGTAGTGTTGGACACGATTGTGTGTATGTTCTCTGAGTATTGTGCCAATAAATATGAAATACAACAATGCAAAGTGTTCTCACCCGATGGAACTTATGAGTTATATCCTCAGCTTGAATATAGGGATGAAGTTATAAGTGTTGAAAAAGCCAACAAATATATAGGGATTAAGTAAGTAAACCATACTTAGACAAAGAAACATGACTTTAATAAATAAATTGTATTGTACATAGTTATTTAATATATACTTATTAAACAAGTATGAATTTTGTAAGCAAAGTTGTCAATTTCTATTACGAATCTATGTTAAATTTTTTCTATCATATTGTAATCACATGATAACTTTGTTGGACCTATTAAAAACTTTCTACCACTAGTGTACTAAAAATAACATTTCTGTCTTTTACTTACACCAAAAATATATACTTTTGGCTATGTTTGCAATAATAATTATCCTAATTTATATTGCATGTTACGAGGGGAGGTCAAAAAGTTCGCGGAATGGAGGGGATGGAGGGGGTTGATTTACTCGTCCAGGTAGTAACTTGTTCAACACCTCATTAATAGTATATATACCAAGTTTGAACCAAATCGGGTCATTAACTTTTGAGTTGTTGACCTGCAAACAAGTGAATCGGGAAGAAGTCAGTGAGTATGGAGAAAATTGAACACCGCGCCGTTATTAAGTTCCTCACCAAGCAAGGAAAATCCGCTCAGATAATTTTTGAAGAGCTGTTATCAGTTTACGCGGACTCTGCCCCTGGTAAAACCATGGTTTACAAGTGGCATGGACTTTTTAAACAAGGAAGAGAGTCCATTGAAGATGACGCCCGCTCCGGACGACCGATTGAGGCCACCACACCGAAAATCGTCGCAAAAGTAGAAAAACTTATATTGGAAGATGCCTGGTTGAAGAAGAAACGGCTTGGAGCAATGGTTAGAGTATCTGAAAAAAGCATTTTTAATATCCTACATCATCATCTTGGGATGACTAAGGTCAGTGCAAGATGGATTCCAAGAATGCTCACGCCACTTCAAAAGAGCGATCGTGTCGAGTGTTCTCGCCAGTTTTTGAAGCTCTGTGGAGAGAATAAGGACGAAGTTATGGACCGGATTTTTACTGGTGACGAAACCTAGGTTCACCACTATGAACCTGAATCGAAGCAAGAATCGATACAGTGGCATAAAAAAGGCACAGCTCCTCCAAAGAAGTTTAAAGTGTCACAATCGGCCGGAAAGATCATGGCGACTGTCTTTTGGAATACAGAAGGTATTTTGCTGATCAATTATAAAGATCGTGGTGTGACTATAACGGGACAGTACTACGCTTCTTTATTAGATAGATTGAAAGAAGCTATCAAGGAAAAAAGAAGAGGAAAGCTGTCAAAAGGTGTGCTCCTTTTGCACGACAACGCAACAGTCCACACGTGCCATGTTGCGACGGCTGCCATTCACCGATGCGGACTCGAAAAACTACACCACCCACCTTACAGTCTAGACTTAGTCCCCAGCGACTATTATTTGTTTTCAAAAATGAAAAAAAAGCTGCGGTGAAAAATATTTGAGAAGTCAAGTCCGCAATTTCGGCCTATTTTGATAGCCAAGATAAATAATTTTTTTCGAATGTATTAATAAATTATTTGTGAGATCCGAAAAATGTATTAAGGTTAAGGGAGACTATATTGAAAAGGAAAAATAGTTTCGTGTTAAATTTCAACCCCCTTCCCGCTCATTCCGCGAACTTATTGACCTCCCCTCGTATATATAATGAAACTCTTTAAGCATATCATGTTAGAGTTTTCTGTATTTTATCTGACACCAATAATGTATATTTTTTTCTGTATTTGCAATCATTTTAATCCTAATTTATATTGCGTGTTATATATAATGAAACTTCAAGTATATCACGTTAGAGTTAGTCAGTACTATAATAGTTATTAATTATTTCAGTGAGTCCAGTGACGTTCTATCCTCCCTCCTCTCCCGCATGTGTCTTTTGTCTGTTCCGAGCGGCGACCAGCTCACAGTCCGCGTGCCCCCCACTAGGCATGACGTCATACACGCCTGCGACCTCTACGAAGACATCGCCATCGCTTATGGGTATACAATTTAATATTACATATCTTTATACAGAGTGACTGGTGAATTACTATCAATATTTAAGGAGAATACTCTGTACATGATTCTCATTCGAATTATGTAAAAAAAATAGATACGTTCCAAGTGTTCCAAGTGCGGACGCGTGCGGCGGCGTGGTGTTGTATAAGCAAGCTGATACAACAACACACCGCCGCGCGCGTATGCGTGTGTGTGTGTATACCTAATCTGTAGGGTGTTCACACGATGCGTAATTAATTACACAACTTTTGGTTAACTTTACTTAGAAGTTTATTAATATTTATGTTATATTAATTTTTATTTTGTCATATATGATCGTCAAATATCACGTCCTCAAGTATCGATAGTAATTCACCAGTCACCCTGTATATATAATTCTTCTGTGAGTGTGTATGTCACTGAACTTCTCTCAAACAACTGGACCGATTTTTATGAATTTTTTTGTGTGTGTTCAAGGGGATCTGGGAATGGTTTAGATTCACAATTTTGTCGCTGGACAATGTTTTTAATTAATTGTTAATTTATTAGTACATAGTTGTTGAGACAAACTTTTTTTTTGACATTAGATTTGACAACTAACTAATATGTCAATCATTCACTTCAAAACACGGAGATTTATGGCTTTAAAAAGTAAACTCCAAAAATATAAATAAAAAAACGTAACAAATATTTCTTGATTATATAGGGCGATACGAAGTTCGCCGGGTCTTCTAGTATTTGATAAACTTCTAGTTTAACAAAAAATTAAAGGTTCTTAAAATTTTGCATGTCATAGAAATATATCGCCTGCGATAGTGCAAATCAGTGTAACTACAATTGGATAATTCCTCGTATCTACATTAGAAGCAGATTATCAGACGAGAGTTTAAGCTGAAATTTTTTCTAAATTAACAACTTTTAAGGTAACTGTACTATGTAGATACGCGGAAATATTCAGTGCTAGTTACGCGGATTTGCAATATCCTCGACGATATGCATGTCATACAAACACAAAAATCTAATAGTTATTCGATTCCAAATTTAAATGTTACTTTGATGAACATTTTCTAATTTTGTATCTTGTTGTGAATATGTAATCCTTGTGTCAGTTATAACAACATCCCTCGTCGTCCGTCCCGTGTTGTGTCTTGTGGAGCTCAGGAGCCGCTCAGTAAACTTACTGAGCAACTGCGACACGCGTGTGCTTGTGCTGGGTACACTGAAGCACTCACCTTCACACTTGTGAGTACATGCTCTACTTGGTGTAATATGCATCACTCACCCATCATCTTTCCGAGATAAAGTACATGCTCTATACTCTATAGGTTTCATAATGCTTTGTTAAACTAATAACCGGTTGCCCTTTCCCTTTTTCCCATCCTTTCCTACCTCTTCCCTTCGCATTTTTCCTCCCCATCTTCCCAAGTCAAGGGTGGTTACACATCCGCAACATGTCTTATGTCGCGGATGTCCATGGGAGACGGTACTACCTCCATCAGGTAGGCCGTCTGCTCGGTTGCCCCCATTAACATAAAAAAAAATAACCATATTTTAATAATATCAACATCTTTTCCAGTGTTCTCGTGAAGATGTATCAACAAAACTTGGTTACAAAATAGAAGATATCCCAGCGGTTCATATTTCAAACCCTAAAACGCTGGAGTTCCAAGTAGTGAGGACGTTGTTGTTACCTGGATTGCTTAAAACACTCGCTGCCAACAAGAAGATGCCCTTACCGTTGAAGCTGTTTGAGATTAGTGACGTCGTCATCAAAGATGAGAACGAGGGTATGTATAGCAGCTTTTCCCAAAATGGCCGACAACGTCCCCTTGCGGCCAGAAGAAGGGTAGTAAGAGACCCAAAAAAAATTAGGGACATTGTGCTGAGGAAAAAGGCATGGGGGGGGGGGTTAATTTGAAGAATATTCGTTTCATTTAAATCAATACTCACGAAAGTCTTATATCTCATTAAGGTTGGATAAGTTGTAGTAGTTTTTCAATAGGTGAAAAAATGGGGGCGCTGAACATAAGTGAAGGAACCTCTGGTATAAACTTATACAGGGTGACTGGTGAATTACTATCAATATTTAAGGAGCATACTCGGTACATGATTCTCATTCGAATTATGTAAAAAAAGTAGGTATGTACTTAATTTTTGACCAAATTTCCGTATAAATAAATAAAGTGTGGAGACGTTCCAAGTGTGAACGCGTGCGGCGGCGTGCTGATACAACAACACACCGCCGCGCGCGTATGTGTGTGTGTGTGTATACCTAATCTGTAGGGTGTTCATACGATGCGTAATTAATTACATAACTTTTAGTTAACTTTACTTAGAGGTTTATTAATATTTATGTTATATTAATTTTTATTTTGTCATATATGATCGTCAAATATCACGTCCTCAAATATCGATAGTAATTCACCAGTCACCCTGTATATCCTACTGTTGAAAAAATATGAAAAATAAAAGAAAAACGAAATAAATAAATCTTTTTATTAGTTGATAAGAAATTTTTATATGCATGTTTATTTAGTATGTTATTTTTGTTTATACAGAGACGGGTGCCCGTAATGAGCGTCGTCTGTGCGGTGTTTACTGCGGCAAGGCTGGTGGCTTTCAGTTCGTGCACGGATTACTTGACAGACTGCTGTCGTCACTGAGAGTGGCGCATAAAGAAGATTACTATTTAAAGCCTTGTCAAGGTGAGATTTTATATAATAGTAAAGGCCAAAGAACACATAGCCACATACATATTAAACTGTTGAATGGAGCGAGTTTTGGTTATAAGAACAAATCCTGTTAACATTTAAAAAATAAGTAGAAAATGTATGTTTATATTTCATTTAACTTTCGTTGTAATAAGTAATAAGTAATAACAAATAACTTTCGTCTCTAAGACTCTTTTAATTTTTACCATATTATTATTGATGTTAATTTTTACAACAATCTTCAAAGTAAACTTTACTATGACAGAATTATAAAATAAATTCATCAGACGACGAGAATGCTTCTTAACGAAAAAAATATTAAGTCTTCATAAATTATGATATACGATATACTTTAATATCTTATTCACAATTTTCAGATCCTACGTATTTCCCCGGACGTTGCGCTGAGGTCGTACTACAAGGTCAAGTCATCGGCAAAATAGGTGTCATCCATCCGAATGTACTGACAGCATTCGAACTTACCAACCCTTGCTCCGCTGTGGAAATTAATATTGAACCGTTCTTGTGATTTAATAATTTATTTAACTTATCTATTTTGTACATTCGTATATTATGTATGCAAAAAGCAGGTCAATATGTCAATATGTTGAATAAAATATGTCACTAGATTAGTTCCTGCCTTTGTTGTTAAATCCTTGTTGAATTATTGATAACGATAAAATTTTAAGCTCGTAATACATACATAACAACATAATACATAACATAACAAAAAAAAAAACGTAATTTTTACTATCTTAGCGTTATATCTTTGAATGATTTATGATTTTCTATACACCTCATAAATCTTATAGTTAAAATATATATTATCAGATAAAGTTTGATATTCAAATCCAGTAGAGACAAGGGTCAGAATATAATAAAAGATCAAATTATTTTAATTACAAAGTGTGTATTAACAGTACAAACAAATAACAATACAATTAATTGTTGTCACACGAGATGTAATGAACACTATAATTAATTTCCTTCGTCAAACATTAAAATTATTTCATTGATGTAAAATCTATATAGATAATTGAGGTCAATTCTCAGAATTGTTGCATCCAAAACACTATGGGTTCTTAGATAAAATTAAATAAGCATACACTATAATATAATACCTATTCTGAATTCGAGTGGGTTAAATAACATATTTTAATAAAGTACAATATTTTACTAAAATTTTAAGTCAAAACATTCTTATAAACTTTTTGTATGAGAGTATGCACATTTTTCAAATAATTTTCAAAATCCTTTATAAGGCACATTAAAATTTATTGTATCTGAAAACGATTCCATCACAGAAACATGAGAAATATTAATATATGTTGTCATAAGGCACTTTTAAGTGATATATGTATATATTTATATCGGTTATGATCCTGTGATGTGCATTATTTGTAAGAAATATATATTTTACAATACTATATGTATATACACTGACAATATAACTATGCTAAAATAATATTTATTACTCACATTTTTTATAATACTTGAAATTTAAAATACCTTTCATTAAATTTATGTTAGTATTTCCATATAACATACAATTTTGATAAACAAGCATGCACTTACCAAATACATCTTACATTTTAATTATGAAGTAATTTGCATTAAATTTTAAACATTACATTTTAATCGAAAACTTTATTGTAAAATACCAAATGAACTAATTTGTGTATTTGAATATGCAATTTCATTGTTTTAAATATTTCCAAAAATAATTGACTGTTCTTTGAATCATTTATATTTAATATAAAGTCAGATGGACGGATATCTAAGCTGCAAATGTTAAAATTTTCAACCATTTCTAGTCTAGCAGTAAATCTATATTGAACATTTCCTGTAATTCCTCCTTCTTAAAATCAGTTGCAATAATAAATGGACACAGGTAGAAGGATAGTTCTTTCAGATTTGGTGCACAAGCTTTGATAGCTTTAGCTACTTGCATAGTAACATGGTGACATCTAGACAGACTTAGGTAGGTTAAATGTTGAAAGATGTTGTTGGAGAAGTATGCAAGGAGAGCATTAGTTGAAAAGTATCCATGACGTAATTTCAAGGACCTCAGATTTTTCAATCTGTATAGATGCAAGAGACTAGAATCAAACAGAGTTTTACAAGTCATGATGTGTAATACTTGAAGTGTTTTGCATTTTGATATTGAACATATTATATCATCATTGAGTGTATCCCCGTAAATGTGCAGGGCCCTCAAACTGCTCTGTTTAGTTCTTAACAGAGAGTCCAGAAAGTCTGATGGTATGTTCTTCATTTTTTCCATGTTAATACTGACTAAATTAACACATTGTAGCATACTGTATAAACTGTTGTGGGTTAATGCGAAATTAGACAGTATAAGGGTTTCAAGGTACTTCAACTTCTCAAATGGTAAATGATAGACAAAATTCCCATTTGCATTCGCATTACTTTGCACTATCAATGAGTTCCTAAAGCTGAGAAATTTCAAATTAGGCCAGTATCCTAGGTCATCGAATATGCAACTATCAACTTGTGATATGCTTATTTCTAGGTGAGTCAAATTGGGGCAGTAGCTGATTAAGGAAGCCCGGACTTGAGAATACAATTTGAAATACTGTAATTTAACATTTTTTAAATACTTGGCCACAAATGGCACAATACTATCGCTTATTCTCACATAGTTCTTCATACAGACAATGAGGCGTGTGTTATCCCAGATACATGGAGTCATGCATAGTTGTTGCCATCTCATGCACACCTTAGCTACGGCCAGCAGGGATTCAAAATCGATCATTGAAAATATGTAAATAAGTAATTCATTCGGCAGATCATTTATACACAATGTGTGACAGTATGGTAAAACGGTTGTCATCTCTAGATGCACCATTATTAATAAACGTAGCCCACACTTTGGTAGTTCTGAAAGTATAATTTGTATGTAGCAACTACATGACAATTGAAATATAATATTTAAGTTCTAATTAACAATAAAAAAAAAATAAATTACTATTATTCTCTGTAAAATATTATTTATTAAGGATGATAATAAATATAATATATTGATGTTATAAAAAATAATAAACCAAACATACCTCGAAATTACCTTGCTTCCTATTCGAGAATATTTTAAGGTTTGCCTTAATAAAATCATAATTTATGTAAACTGCTGAAACTGTGTCTATATTATAGCAATACTTTTAGAAATATTTGTTTAATAATGAGGTCCAAATCTCCATGGTAAATATTACTATTTAATGCTTTAAAATATTTTTTAAGAAATATGTATTAAAAATAACTCATCTTTGACTTTGATGCTATTTTGGTATGACGTCTTGAGTTTACGGTATACAAATTACAACACAGGGGCTTAAGTATTGACAGCTTTTAATTCGGATGACTGACAGCAAAAAGGCAAAGTAAGATGCGTTCATACTAAATAGAATGTGTTTGGGTTTAATAATTAAAGTGCAAATAATTATAATTAAACGATAATATTAGATTTCGTATCCCCAGAAGCTTATATGGCGCTGAAACATTGTATATATGTGAAATTAAATAATTATCTTAATTCATTCATATTAAATTTAAGAAATAAAGATAAAACAAATCGTCAGTGCCTTTACTTGCAAAGAAAATTAAAATCTTAATCAATAAATCGAACTCCATACATTGAAATTATTATATATTTTATTAGGTTTTGCTCGCCCTTCATAACTTCATTTTCTTTTCTCCACCACTACATATGTTAGTTAGTACATAGAAAATACATCTTAGAATTAAGGTCGCCTATTGTGCAACGTTTGTATAGGTACAAAGAAGTTTCATAGAATACAACTAAACCTTAAACGCTAAATATTATGACCGAAATAGGTACATTATGTGGTTAAGCGCTACGTAGCTTAAATCTGCTCGTTACGAATTATTTATTTTTGATATTTTATTTTTATTCAAATGCATTTCAAATGGTTTTTAGTCTGTTTAAACATTAAGAAAACTTTCTTTATTTTTGAAAGTTACGAGTTTCAAAGGTCATTTCAATATACATATTTTAAAGAAAATATTTTAAAGTTAAAATATTATATGAAAGGCATCCGATCGCAAAAATCTTGTAAAGTAAACAATGTTAATTCATCTGTCACCTTCCCCTAAGGGAGAAATTATGGTATGATATTATAACAATAGAGAAGAAACCTCTTAGCATTCAATGGATTCACCGTGCGGGTGCCGGGTCTATCGCGTTGCACCCTGCAGGGAGAGGACCTTTCACAGTTCCTGGGACTTGCGACCCAAGTGTATCACAATGCGGTTTAAAATTCGTAAATATGTCCGGTCTAAAGGCCGACGCATAAATATCCTCGAGGATTTTGTATTGTTTCTGATACGTGTCCATCATAATACTCCAAAGTCCAATCCGAAGCCGCTTTCAGGATGGAGTGAGGTTTGATGTTTGACAGTATTAACACAGCTTTTGGAATGATAGATACATTAAGTAAATGCTTAATTTGTAATGAGACTGCAAACTGGGACTATGGTTACCGAAATTTTGCATAAAATGATTTCCTTAAATGCCATACTGACAACATTTTGGCTGACAAAGTTTTGTTTATTATTATTAATAAACGAAACCTTCCAAATTGGATAAAAAAAAGAGTAAATGCAATGGATAGTGCTTAAGTAAATAGAAAACGTACGCATGGCTAGATATTTATACCTTACGTTAATTAATTTTAGTAAATTTATGTTTATAACGGATTTCCGGGAATTAATACTAACACATACACATATACGAGTACGCCAACTCTGGTGTACATTCGATTCTAAATCCTGAGCTTTCGTTGTTCTTAAGGACTTTTTTGAGTATTTAAGAAACAACAAGCTCATTAATGTATATTAAATATTACGTTTTACAGCGAGAGTAAATAAATTTTCATTATCTAATTAGAGAATAATAGAACATTTTTGCTGTGACCAATGAGCTCTGTGTTGATGTGCGTTTATATAAATAAAATACGATGCTGCAATGTGCCTACCTTACCCCAAGCATGAAACATCTATGCACACAATTGGCCATCATGTTAATAATGCGGTTTTAGATAGTTTCTGGTTCCCATGATTGCATTTTTTATACAATGGTACTATTCTGACGATACTCGTTAAATTTTCCATACATGTATAAATTTTCCATAACTTATTGGTACGTAAGTAACATGTCCAATCAATTGGGTCGAATTTTGTATTTATGCCAAATATATTACCGACATACATTTGTGAACTACATACATACATTTGGCAGACCCTGGCTAAATCTGGGAAATTGCCAGGAAGAAGAGAATTTGTCAACTAATACAAATTTATGAAACTTATGAAACAAACGGCCACACAAAAATACTATTGCAAGTTGAAAAACTCTTTCCCTAACAGCCTCAACTCTCGAGTAATAATAATAAATGTCCTAATATGATAATAAGCTATTGAACATTATTAAAAACCATTGTTCATTATACAAAATCAATACTTGTCTGTATATCTATATAGCGTTACGAATTTAGAGGATAAGTGAAAGGAACAGGTTGTATTCTAACTTCAATGTGACTTTAAACTGGTAAGAGGTGGACGTACATTCAGGTATGTTTATTTATTTTATTATTATCATATTAAAACTTTTTTATTAAATTAACAAAATCATATCGTCGAGATAGTGCAAATTCGCGTAACTACCATTGGATAATTCCGAGTATCTACATTGTACGAAAATTATTTAGTGTTTAATTTATTACTAATTGTGAAAAAAATACCTTAAAAATCGTTAATTTAGAAAATATTTCTACTCAAACTTTCTTCTAATAATTTTCGTTCAATTAATTAAATAAACGGAATTATCCAATGGTAGTTACGCGGATTTGCACTATCCCCGATGATATATTGAATATATTAAAAAAAAAGGTTATTGTACCGATATAATATGTAGAAAACATTTATCTAACTATTTTTTTTCGCAGACAATGGTTCTTAAGTTATACGCAGTATCTGATGGGCCCCCATCTTTATCGGTTCGACAACTATTACATCAACTTGAAATACCTTTCGAGCTAATTAACGTGGATTATGGTAAAGGGGAACATATGACAGCTGATTATGCCAAGGTTATACATAAACTATACCAAGTATATACATAAAATATTTAATAAAACAACCTTTATTAAGTTCTAAATCAATCTGTGACTAAACTAGGAACCGGAAATTTAACAAATCTAGGAACTATGAATAGTCATCAATCTTACTAAATCGTTGCATGAATACTAAAATAAGCAACTACCCACATTGTTGTCGACATAAACAGTAGACATAATACTCGCTGAACTAGAAAAATCGCTTTCGTTTTATATTCAAGAGAAAGTTGTATTTTGGATGTACAGAGCTCTTATATATTGTTTATAATCCAACAATTTCAAATATTAACAACACCATAACAATACAACTCTTTATAATTAAACCTTTAGATGAACCCCCAAAAAGAGATCCCCGTGTTAGAAGACGATGGATTTTATCTCGGTGAGAGTAACGCTATATTACAGTACATCTGCGACAAATACAAACCAGATTCATACATGTATCCTCGGGATCCAAAATCAAGGTGATTATATTATTATAATATATCTAATTCGCATTAATATTAATAATTGAACAGTTCGTTTCCGTTTTGATTATATATTTTTTTAATTTTTTATACTACATGTTTCATCTAGCTTAACACATAAGCCTACATGTTGTGTTCTAACCGACACATTGAAAAACATCGCCTTTGCTTCATTAACTTGACTATGCAAAACGTATTTATATATTATGGTAATCGTACATAATAGAATTAAATATTTTAATTTTTTTTTTGAAAACCGTCTGCATCCGTAATATTGAAACGTTTTTTTAAATTCATGACATGTAATGTTCACAAATGCAAACAGGATAAATGGTTGGGGAATTGAGAGCAGGATAAAGATATCAAATATTTTTTTCCAGAGCCCTCGTGAATCATCGACTCTGTTTCAATCTATCTACGTATTATGCTAATATATCTGCATACACGGTATGTAATTTATTATAGTATGGTTTTACCTAGAACATGTAAAAAGTTTCTCTTAGTGGTAAAATCTAAAATATGTTTCCTCCAACAGAAAATGTATTCCTTTTCAAATAAAATATTCACAAATCATTTTATTTTAACAGTATTAATTACGTTCTTAGAAGTGCCCTCAACTCTTGTGATTAAATATTAGCAAAATAATTTAATGATGGTTTATAATCCTTAAGAAATATAGCTTGAGTTAAACAGGAGGAAAATATTACATATTTTAGATGGCACCCATATTCTTCGACTACGAACGCACAGAGTTCGGTCTTAAGAAGGTAAACATGGCGCTAGACGTGTTTGAAACATATTTAGAGAGACTGGGAACAAGTCACGCAGCCTCAGAGAAGCTCACTATAGCGGACTTACAGTTGTTCAATTCTACAATGACCCTTGAAGCAATAGACTTTGACTTTAGAAAATACAAAAAGGTATGTAGCTTAGTTGAAGTGGTTTTAGTTGAACATACTTCATCGAAAAGTTTCATATCATAAAATTTTACAGATTCACACCTGGTATAACAATTTTAAACAAAACTATCCCGATTTGTGGAAGATATCTGAAGATGCTATGAAAGAAATAAAATATTTTATAGCCAACCCACCAGACCTGACCCATTTAAATCACCCGATCCATCCAGCTCGTCAAATAAAAAAGAAATAAGCATTAAAATATTTATTAACATATGTATTGTTTGATTTTACGACACACATCTCTTCATGTAGCCTAAGCAGGAATTAGAACAGCAGTCGCTGTGATTGTTGCACTGAAAATCAAAACATTTGAGTAAGCAAAGGTCAAACGAAGTAGAACAAAACAAAGTTAAACAAATCAATGCAAATTCATATTTGTACCACTACAATAAAACTGATTTTTGAATGTATCTAATACTTACGAATTCTCCAACGGCAGCACATTTCTTCTTACCGTAGACATCAACCACGGGTGGAGACCGATCATCTATATCGCCGTCTATTAAGTTACCGTCTTCTTTAACCAGTTGAATCTCCTTCGTGTTGATGTCATCGAAACTTCTTCCTCTTATCAAATATCCACTCGAGTAGGAAACCAGAACAAAACAAAACAACAACAAAGTAATGCGCGCCATCTTGTTTGTGTGCGTGTTACTGGTTCAGCAAGCAACTGATGCATTGCAGAAGGCGGCACACATTATATTGCATTGTTGTTGTCACTCCCGCATTGCTACATTATGGCGGTATTTTTCGTGATAAGCTTGACACCACTTGAATTTGAGACACAGGACGTTAAAGATTTTGTATTATTAAATTGTCCAGTTATTTTTATAAATTACTGAAATTGTTATTCCTGACCTTGTCCTCTTTGGTTTAAAAACGTTTTTGTGTCTGTAAAATAATGGAACGGTGTTCGAACTCGAAAATTGTAGTATACAATTGTAATTGTAAAAACAAAAACCTAAATTTTAATCATAATGTGACTATGAATAGAGTGTGACGAAATTAATTTTACACGTATGAAATTAATAAATGAACAAGCGGTGTTTATTGATTTGAAGTGTTATTTACTCATCGGATTATAAAAAAAATGTGGTCTATATTTGTTTAACGTATAGTACTCAGAGTCAGTGCAGTTTAAATAAAAAGATAAACTTCCAATACCTACTAAAGTCTTATAAGAAGGATGTGTAGAAACCATTTAATAAGATATGTAGTTTCCAATACCAAATAAAATAGACTATAGCAATTTTTGCTATAGGTTTGAAAAAATTAAAATTATACAAAAACAATCACGATCGTATGAATAAGTTTCCGAGATGGATATGTACATTCGTTTATTGTAATAAATTTGTCAGACATAAATATTTTACAAAAAGATCTTAATGATGGAAAGGCATTTGAACTTTGAGAAACAGTTACAACTTCAAGTCGATCAACATAAAGATTTACTTTACTTTTGAAGTATGATAATTAAAAACATATTTAACCTGCATCATATTACCTACTGTTTTAGTACAAGGCCATTTTTTTAACTCAATTTATTGGGTTTTCCACTAATCAATATAATAATTCATAATATGTATCTGATTGTGGATAAGACTCTTAAATTAAAACAATCATTATACATTACGAGTAACTGTTTTAGATATCTTCTATAGAGCGTTGCCATATTAATACTTTTCTGTCTTTTTGTAACGGTTACTTTAGATATTATTTAGCAAAGTCTTATGACCAAGCTAAAACAATCTCATATGACTAGACGAAACAACACCTAATGTTTTTGTCATGTTTACAAATTAAATTGTTGTAGATGCAACGTGAGCGATGTTTTTAAGATATGATTTTTAAGATATATATTTATATAAATAAATAATTTTGCGATCACAATTATCACAAGTTTCAATGTTTTAGCTGAAGTATCAATTCCTTAGTTTGATAATTAATAATTATTATCAAGACAAATAATTTCCGTCTTCGACAACGAATAAGGAAGCTTTATTAATTTCGAATTAAAAGTCAGTCTCAAATATTATATAAAAAACAATTACATAATTAATAAATAAAAAATATTGAACAACCTCTATAAACGATTAGATATTTCACATTAACCTTGGTCGTATACCTATCGGTATGTTAGAGAATTCTACGTATCTATTTACGCATTGCCATTAAAATAACAAATAGTTGAAAACGCACAGGTAAAAGACAAACAAGTGTTTAAAAAAGTTATTAGAAATAGGAAACAAATTATAATTAGGAAAAATTTAATATTTTTATTTCATAAATAAAATGCAATATAAATGGAGGTGGTTAAATGTATTGGTATTTTTATAACAAGTTTGCATTATCATTTTATAGAATATTCAATATTTAATCCAATCACATAGATTAATAGAAAAATAATATTAAAAAAACTGTTAACGCGATAAAATTATTAGCGTGACAATACCTACTATAAAGTTGATACTGGTAATACTATATATACTATATATAAAGGTTTGGTAATCCATCTTTATATATACATATAAAGATGGATTACCAAACTCACAAAAAAAGCTATACAGTAATAACGTGGAGTTTCGAAGTTGCAAAAATACTTTTAGGAACTAAAAACTACTACTGAAGAATACGTTAACTTTTCCTGATTACTTACAGTGCTGCCATAACAAAAAAAAATTAAGACAATATGGCTTGTATTGTCGAAATCATTAGCACTTATATATATCAAAACTGATTCAATAACTCCTCCTAATTGTTTTCTTTAAAGCAGATTTCATAGGTTTGTGGAATCATATCATAAATCATTTAAAACCTGTTTTTAATAAATGGATACTTTTCGTAATGACCTATCGATGATGTAAATCGACCTTTAAGGTCCTTTAAATCGACTCGTTTTACTTGAAGATTTACCAATTAGAATTTAGGAAATTTAAAGTTATTATCGTCGTCGTTGTCATCAACCTATTAGAGCCCACTGCTGAGCAAAGGCCTCCTCTCACATGGAAAGGGTTTAAGCATTAATCAACATGCTTGCTCAAGACGGGCTGGTGATTTCAAACTAAATTGTGAAAATATAAGTTCAGGATTCCTCACGATGTTTTCCTTCACTGTCTGTCAGTGGTGTCTAAATACTCTTAGAAAGTACATATGACTCGGAAAAATCACATTGGTACTTGCCAGGATCGAACCCACGCCCTCATGCACGAGAGGTTCGTCTTTAACCACTAGACCAGCACTGACTTAAAGTTATTATATGTACATACATACAATGTTGTATCTCGAACAAATAAAGACCACCAAACCTAATTCAAAAATTAAACATATTAAGGTTTTATATTAATTATAATTTTAAAAATATATGCAAACAAATATCTAAGTAAATTTTATATGAAAGGAGTTTTTTTATTGCCATATAAATATGATGAGTACAGTTTTCTGAAAGGCCTTGGTTGATTCCATTACTACAGTGCTGCTTGCTTGCTTTCCAATATTTTAATGTTTGAAAGCAAATTTTAATATACTCGTATGTAAATATAAATATACATACAAATGCTTTGGTTCTTGAGGACCACGGCATTTCATAACTTGATATGTTTATTCATAAAGTACTTTTTTATATATAAATACCCCATTAAATAAATTATGATGATATTTAGTTAGTAAAAAAAAGAATTAGCAGTCAGCAAAGTATCTTTTGTTCGAGGTAAAATATATTTGTTGAATCCCGAACCCCTAAAAAGCAGCTGCTCAGCTACCGCTTTTATTATGACTAAACTTGGTTAGAAGGGATCTTAAAAATCTGGACCACATTATAATTTCAATTTGAAACGAGTTCAGTCTTAATATTTTTATATATTTTTTTTTTATGTATATGTATACATAAAATATTTATATTGAGTATGGATTTTATTACAAAAAGATAGTTTACTGCATTCATTTCATATAACTAAGTATAATTTAAATTCAAATATGATATATTTTTTCTATTAATACCTATCGATTGATAAATTTAGACTATCACCGGAAAACTTTATCGACACATCCGTTGATAGATGTGGGTTATTTCAAAAAAATCTAAATTTTAAGCCAAGCTATATAAAAAATAGTTATAGGTAATTTAATATTTTGGACTAGCTTTTGCCGCGACTTCGTCCGCGTGGAATAGTGACTTCCGGCAGATTTTTGGTTCTTCCCACATAGTTCCCCTTCTTGCGGGGTTTTCGGAATGGTCGAGTTCCCGTAGAATTTTCAGTAAACAACCTATGTTTTTTTTTATTCACAATGAAGTACTCTTAACCAACAACATATTTATTTGTTTATTTGAATAAAGATTAATATTATTATGTTGATACAACTTAAACAAATTATTTTGACCAAATGAGGTACCATAAAAACGGTTTTTGTGAGTTAATCTTAAAAGATAGACATATACTGTCGCAGACTGTTTTTTAGATCATTAAAAGAGCTATTATTCTTTGATACATATTTTTTGTGTATCTTGAACCGTTTTCACGGCGCACGCAACGGAAGGCTTCAAAGATGAAATAATTTCTCCCGTTTTTTACACATTTACCACTATATCTTTGCTCCTATTGGTCGTAGCGTGATGTTATATAGCCCACAGCCTTCCTCGATAACTGGACTATCCAACACAAAAAGAATTATTCAATTCGAATCAGTAGTTTCGGAGATTAGCGCTTTCAAATAAACAAACAAACAAACTCTTCAGCTTTATAATATTAGTTTGCAATTTGTAATTATATGTAATTAAACGGAATATAAAGCAACCAATCTCTTACAACACACAATATATACACGAAAAAAAATTGAAAATTTATAAAAATGAGTATGAATTCTTCATTTCTTGTGATCCCCGTTATATTCTGGCTAATATTTTCAAAATATTAAGTTTGAACAAACTACGTTTTATTGGAGTTGATCCGACGCTACTTTACAGTTACTTTACAAAAATCGTTAGTAAAAACGCAGTCTACTAGATCTGGCAAACGCCTATACGTAGATTATCGGGCTTTAAATAAAAATACTAAGCGGGAACTCTATCCTCTCCCGAGAAAAGAAGATCAGTTAGATCTGTTATCTAGTCGTTCCTTATACAGGGTGACTGGTGAATTACTATCGATATTTGAGGACGTGATATTTGACGATCATATATGACAAAATAAAAATTAATATAACATAAATATTAATAAACTTCTAAGTAAAGTTAACCAAAAGTTATGTAATTAATTACGCGTCGTGTGAACACCCTACAGATTAGGTATACACTGACACTCACACATACGCGTGTCGTGACGTAGTGTTGTATCAGCACGCCGCCGCACGCGTCCACACTTGAACACTTGGAACGTGTCAACACTTTACTTATTTATATGGAAATTTTGTCAAAAATTAAGTGCCTATTTTTTTTACATAATTCGAATGAGAATCATGTACCGAGTATTCTCCTTAAATATTGATAGTAATTCACCAGTCACCCTGTATATCAGTTTAGATCTTACTTCTGGATCTATCAGATCCCTATTACTGAAGAGTCTTTACTTCACAATATGAATATAACAGAATGCCATAGGGTTTGGTCAATAAGTCTTCAGTTTTCCAACGCACTATTAAC